TAGATTCTTCGGACGGGATCCTCCAGAGCGAAGCGTCGGATGACTCTTCCGGACGGATGGCGGAACTGAATGCGTGTAGTCGTAGCCGGGTCAGCGGGGGGCTCGGTGTGAGGCTTATCATCTGGAATTGAGGCGAATGGAGAAGTTTCAGCTTCGCCTTTTCCGCCTTGATCTGCTTCACCCATGCTGATGTCCTCAGTGTCGGCTGCTCGGCCTTTGCCTTTCACGTCCTCGACACTCCGAGTCAAATCGTCGGGATCTTCCAATTTCTGAGACTGAGAGGGATCTCCACCCAGACTATTTCTCATTGCCAATTCCATCATCTCCTCTTCCGTCATAGCATCAATGCTCTTCTCCTTCTCTGGTTTCCGCTTGGCTACTGGATTCCGTACATTGTGTTTAAGACTGTAACGGTCGAGAAATTCATGCAGTTGCATCAGGAAGTCTGCAGCCTTCATCACAGGCGGCCCGGACCACACCTTCATCTGCTCGCCGGTGCGTGGGTCGACAATGGCAATATGAGGGAAGTTGTCAGAGACGTCGCTCGCTTGAAAATAGTATTGTAGATACGGCGCAGCTCGTGGGTCGTCTTTAGAGTACTGCAGGAAGAGGAAGTGTTCTTTGACAGTGTCTCGGATCCCAGCGTCCTTCCATAGGTCCCTGTTCAACAACTGACAGTCAAAGACGGAGGGGTCTTGTATATTGACCAGCAGCCACCTCTCATTCTCACGGCCTTCCTGACGGGCTAGATCCCATGGAAGCCGTGACATAATCTCAAAAGGCGGACGGTACATTTCGGCAAGCATATTCGATTTACTCGAAGCATCAGACGCACCCCCAGTTGCTTCTGAAAGCCTTTGGCGATGTGAGGCCTCGTCTTCCCCTGTCCATATCGAAGAAGTATCCCTCTGATTGAAGATACCAGGTCGGTCTAACAGGTATTAAGGTTAGCTGGCGAACGTGAAAGGGTATCGACGTGGGGATACTAACTGTTTCTTTGCTGGCGAGCGCGCAATTGACCCAGTATGCTTGTGTGCATGTCGCCATCGTCGAAGTCTGCATCTGGGCCTACGAGTGTTTCTGTTGTGCGAGCCATCGGAGCACGCACACCATCATCTTCAACTGCTGCTCCCCCACCCCCCCCACCACCATACATTTCCTCCTGGAGGCGCCGAGCCATGGCCTCGTCATCTTCATAGGTAGAATTTGGTGGCGGTTGGTGTCGAGGGGTAGATCGCGCTTCGTCAACAGTGACCTCGTCGTCAGAGCCGACATGTACAGCCCCGCTATCGCCTGCGGAAGGTTGAGCTCCCGGAGCGCCTGATGTAGATGGTATGGGCTCATCAGTTAATGGTGCGCCGCCGTTTTCGAAATAAAGCTGCATAGCTTGTTCAATATTGTAATCGGCTAAGTGGAGATACTGAGTGGCCAGCTCAGGGCTCGAGCCCGTGATCTCGGTGAACTGAGCCACCACATCGTCGTTCATAGCGGGCAGGATACTTGGGAAGGGTTCGATAACGGCGAGTATTTGAGGAAGATGAGCGGGATGTTAACTTGTCGTGGCAGAAGAAGCTATCCCACAAGATTTAGTGTATTGAGACTTGTGACGAATGTGATGCAAACAACTGCAAACAGTTGTAATGAGCTGTAATTGCTCAGTTAATGAGAAGGATAAAAAGCCACTGAAGTTTTAATTAACAATGATCGCAGCTATTTGGTAGAATAAATAAATCTAGCATACGAGCTTTTTACTACTTGGCGGGATCACTGGCGCCAACGAACTGCTCTGATATATGGGTTTGTAGAATAGGCCCGCATCATCAGGTAGAATTGAGTGACGCACTTTGCTTTGGTGGATTTGACCATGGGATAATCAGATTCTCCGCCACCGCGGGGATAAGCGGCCTTTACGCGCCCGACCTAAGAGTTGCGTTATTGGATTTCCCACCAGACCGTACTAAGGTCCATGTGATTTTCCTTTTTCGGGGTATGGGAGGACGCGTGACGCGAGGTAGAAAAACGCGTGAGCGCGAATAAAAAAGGGACCGGCCAATTATGCCTGGTTGAGGCATAGTCCATACCACCGGGTCTGCCAAGTACTAGTACCTGTCATCGAACTTCTAGACCTACTAGTAGTAGCGACCTATTACTTTTTTTATGTCTACTACTACCACGTCTGTCGTACTTTCCTATTCATACTTTCTCCTCCATATCTGCTCCTTCCCCAGCAGCTAGCGATAGGTTCGAGCGCTCACCATGACTGCTTCGGTTCTTGGCAAGCGCCAACGGAATACTCTTGAGGTAGGAGGTACGATTGCGTGACATGGACCTGCTCTTTGCTCTCTCCTTCCCCAGGCGTTCTTGAGCCCAGTCCATGCTAACTAATTAATATTAGTGCCAGTGCTGCCAGTGCGCAGTGCCAGTAAGCGCCGAACACAACCGCCTCGTATCCTTCAAGAAGAGAATGCACCGTCTGAACAGACAACACGCCAACTGCGGTCAAAGACAAGGGGTGGCAGCGCCTATCGACAGGAAAATGATGCCAAGTTTGAGGACGTCTCCAATAGAATTGAAAGTGTGAAGGATGAAGAGCCGGAGCAAGAAGCACCATCCCCTACAAAAGCCCATTCGCGTATCCGTACCTCAAAATCAATCAATGGAGGATTACCGGCGAAGAAGTGCGGCAATCTTCAACCGACAACTATAGATGAGAATACGAGACCGGTTGAGTTCAAGACTCCTTCAAAGTCTAGATACCGGGACGCCCTTGACTCGCCGCCTATCACACCAAAGCACCGGGTTCAAGTCGGAGGAATCTCGTTAACTCCACGTACACCTCGACAGACATCAACACCACAAGCCACACAAACCACACAAACAATTTATACTCAAGCCAGACAATTGTTTGCCCGGGGCGCAAACTCGGGTCGCCTGATTGGCCGGGAAGCGGAACGGGAAAAGCTAGTCTCGTTTATCCAAGATAGTCTGCAGTCATGGCAAGGTGGCTGTCTGTATGTCAGCGGCCCTCCTGGGACGGGCAAAAGTGCCATGGTCAAAGAAGTGTGCGATGAGCTTGACCTGGGCTCTGTGATGGTCACGCATGTCAATTGTGCGAGCATGCGAAGTGCTCGAGATGTCTATAGCAAGCTCATCGAAGATCTCTGCGACGACCAGCAGATTTTCAAAAAGAGTGAAGCAGAGAGGCTAAAAGCCATGTTCACCTCTAATAAGAAGCAGGATGATATGTATCTGGTTTCATTGGATGAAATAGACCACCTCCTTACAACGGATGCGGGTATTCTGCAGTCTTTATTCGAGTGGTCGTTGCAAGGAAAATCCAAGCTCATGCTTATCGGAATTGCCAACGCGCTAGATTTAACCGACCGTGCATTGCCACAGCTCAAGGCAAAGAATCTGAAGCCTCGTTTACTTCCTTTCCTACCTTACAACGCTGGTCAGATCGCCAACGTAGTCACTGAACGCCTCCGCTCGTTGCTCTCTTCTGACCAGTGCGATGATCCCAAATTCATTCCTTTCGTCCAACCGGCAGCTATAACATTATGCTCGAAGAAAGTTGCATCACAGACCGGCGACCTGCGAAAGGCATTTGAGCTCATTAAGCGTGCTATCGATCTCATCGAACAAGAGACGCTGCAGAAACTCGAAAAACAAAACGAGAACCCGGAGAGCCCTTCTAAAACAATACTTGTTGAGAATAACAACCTCTCATCTCCAAGGCCAAAGCAAAATCTTACATCAGCATATACAACACTTACTGCACCCCGGGCCAGCATTGCCCATGTTGCACGCATTACTTCGGCTACATTTGGACAAGGGACTGTCCAACGACTTCAAGGCATCAACCTTCAGCAAAAGGCGGCAATTTGTGCATTGATTGCGCTCGACCGTAAACGACGTGAAGGGGAATTCCCAGGTACACCGTCGAAGATCAAGCATTCGGCCCCAACAATCAAGCAAGTCTTCGATACCTACTGCACTCTATGTCGGAAAGATAATATCCTCCACCCCCTTACAGCCACTGAGTTCAGGGACGTACTTAGCAACTTGGAGACTCTAGGGTTGGTTGGCGAATACCAAGGTAAGGGTCGAGGCGGCACTGTTGCCGGTGGTTCAAACATCAGACGTTCTCCCTCTAAGTCGATGAGTGGGCCTATGACTCCCAGCAGAGCCATGGACGAACAGAGCCTGGTTTGCTTTGTGTCCCAAAAAGAGATCGAAACTCAGCTTTCTGGCCCAGGAGAGGGAATCCTCAGACGGCTGCTCACGGGCCAAGGGTTGTGATATGTATAATGAACCGTACCGCACGGATGGAGTCTATTGGATAAATTTTGTCGTCAATCGTTTGTACAGGTGTTGGATCCAGGGATACATTCTTTGCCTAGCGTTTATCATAGCATTCGGACATGGCGCTGTATAGTTTATTTAGATACGATCACAATGTTACCGAGAATAAGAGAATATGAGTTATACATAAGCTGTCATAAACCGCGAACACATCTCTACATATGAATAAGCTATCGGCTCATCGAAAATTGAAAGAGCTATACAATCGATTCCACACAAGTCGCTGGGAAGAGGACATTGTGAAAGCGCGCAAACCAAGAAGTAAGACAAAATGGGAGGCAGATACTTCATGCATACAAAGAGACAAATGGAATCAATAAAGGATAAAACATACATGGAATAAATTTCGAGGGGTATGCGAAACGATAGCGAACGGTATGGTATGATTTATACTTGAATAGAAAAGAAAGCAAATGGTGAAAGAAGGGCTTTGGAAAAACATAATGAGTATATCGCAACTTGCATTGTCGTATATCAATCTCGACTAACAAGGCCTGCTGAAAGTCTGAATGATGTCGACTACATACATACATTTCCCTCCTGAGGATGTACTTTTTTTTTTTTTTTGGGTTTCCTGGATTCTTTGTTGAGGGCACACTAGTCATTTTTTTGTGTCGCTTCGATAGACAGTACGTTTAGTCATCATCCATTGGCTTGTCTTCCAGAGTTACGCCCTTGGGCTCGCTGTCGGCCAGGCTGTTGCGCTTGCTATCTGTTCCGGATTCCCCGCTTGGGACGACAGGGAAACTGGAGCGGTTGCCAAGCCCGGGCTTGCGAGTGAATGAAGCGCGACTGATGGAAGCGCGCTTCTCTGCATCGGCGGCTGGAGTAGGAGTAGGGGTAGGAGAGTCCTCTAATGCTGTTATCGCCGCCATGGGTGGGGGGGTCGTAGTCCCAGAGGAGGGAGTCTCGTTGGCAGTAGCCGAAGCCGAGGAATCACTGGAGGTGCCATTGGGAGTAGCCTCAGTGGCAGCAGCCTCAGTAGCAGCGTTGATGCTCACGTTTGATAGTTGTTCCTGAGTGGTCGGTGAACTGTTGCTGCTAGGAACGTCTAGGCTGTTACGGGTGACCGTTCGCCTCTCGGTCGGGCTGGAAACGTTGACTGGGAAGCGGCCTGCCTCCGAGGGACCGCTGGAGCGATCCCGTCTGTGCTTCCGAGGAGGAGCAGGGCTGTTGGCCCGAGTGCGATCCACAATAGCACGGGCTCGAGCTTCCATAGCTGCACGGCGGTTGCTCTCATCCGTGCTAATAGCGCGGGGACGGCTGATGGAGCCGGTGACCCCGAGAGCGCTGGACTGGCGCTTCAGTTCGCCGAAGATTGCATCCTTGTGAGCAAAAAGGTCACGGATGAGACGGTAGCTGTGACGCTCATTCATGGTAAGGCTACTCTCAACGCGTGGGCGAAGAATGCAAGGAGAAAGTGCTTGCGCGAGTGCAGAAACGTAGGCTTCATCGGCAGATGTGAGGTCTATCAGACGTGTAAAATGGGTCATAACAGCATCAAGCGTTGCGATGTTATTGAGACGAAGCTGTCCAAGTGTGCTTTGCAAGACCTTGATCCGGCCTTCTTCCGTCGTCTCATGAGCGGTGGTAGAGTAAATAGTCTTAACAATTTCGTAAACTTGCGAAGAAACAAGGGAATCTATTTAAAATAGTCAGCATAGATCTCTGATGTGTTAGTGTAAATGTCATACGAACCTGGTAACTCAAGAAGATACAATTTCAACACGCTTGCAACAATCGGAACCTCATATTTCTCTAGGACTTCCTGGTAATCTGCCTTGCTGTTGTTCAAAACATTGCGAAGGTGATGGGTGGCTGCCAGAGGGACATCATAAAGCCAGATAGCACGTCGTGCCTCATCACCCTCAAGGTCCGGGTAACCTATAGTATTCCATTAATTCCAATCTGTGGAGTCAGGGACAGCTGCGATCTTACGATTGTCAAGATAGGTCAAGAGCGTAGTAACCAGGATAGGGACCCGTTTGCGATCAGCTCTTGCTCGGGCCTCAAGGTCCACGCCGAAGTTTTGATCTGAGTAGGTTAGTTATGGTCTAACTTATACAAGACCTGTTGATGATATCATACCTTCTACAGAACCGTAGTAGTTTTCATATGCTTGGACGCGAGGGACGAAACCTCCAGTTCGGTAATTCTCAAGAAGATACCGGAGATCTCCAAGGGGCTGTATAGTCTCCTGGTAAAGCATCATATGATCCACTGTGCTTTGCAAGTTGGGGATGACATTGCTGATTGCACCGGAGAAATCAAGGACAACTGCCTTAATCGCCTTAAGCCGGTCCAATTCACACTGTTCCATAAACCGGAGATTCTCCACAATCTCCTCCTCCAGTTTGCATCGAAGCTGGTCCAGCTTCCGCACAGCGGCCTTATACCGCTCATCGGCCTCGCGCGCTTCTCTGCGCAGCTTCTCTGCCGGCGTCTCATTAGGATGAGCGTTGTTGAGAGGGTTCCAGCCTGCTAACATTTCTGAGACAGTAGATATCGGGGACTCGCTACCGTCCTCACTGTTCGCCATCGATGTTACACGCAAGAGAGGCGTCTTCTTTTCGGGGATGCCAGTGATTTGAAACACTTTGGGGCGCCATTGATATCGCATCTTGCTGCTATTAGCGAATGTACTACCCATATTACCCACCAGCCGGAGCAAGCCATTGTCGACAAGATCCTGCCCGATCCTTTCCGCATAACTGACGCTGGCTGCGTTCATGTGTTTTTGGGTGTATTCCACAATGTCGGCACCTGTCGATGTATTCTGGTATGTGCCAATAATGGGCACCTTAACATCGCCCATCTTGATGTTATCCAGCATGTGTACCAACAGCTGCTTAAGACCCTCAGGTGTGTAGACGTGATCGCCAATCTCTATAGGCTCTTCCTCCTCTGCCTCCTCGGGAAGTACGATTTTAGGAGGCGCTTTGGCCGGCGGGCTAGTCTCCGGGGCCTGGAATGCGAGCTTGTTCTCTTCCTCCAAGTCTTCCACCACACGGCATTTGTTGAAATAATGGCTCCGCAGTTTCTTGACCAAGTCCGCCTGTTTTGTGTGTTCTTTGATACGGGCCTGGAGGTCGTCGTGTGAATTCTGGATTCGTGCCTCATGCTGGTCGCACCAACGACGGAAAGGTGAAACAACTAATTCGCGAATGTTCGAGGAAATCTTCTGGTGATTCTTGGCCGCTTCAACCATCTCGGTGCGGACACCTTCATATGCCTTCACGTCGCCCAAGAGACTTAGTATACGTAGCACCAGCCATATTCGGAGTTAGCCTACCTTCCTCACGCTTGCCCCATCGTCCTTTGCAAACCCTGCTCCCGTCAATCGGTCAACAGTCGGCGCAATATCCCCTAACCGGGCGCCATATTGATCTTCCGCATCCGCACGCATAGATGCGATTGTGATGATCTGCTTGTTCTCGACAACGCCTTGCTGGAGCTTCCCATACAGAACCCCCAGACCAGTGGCGTAGTCCGGCGTCCAGAACGAAGCCGCAAAACCGGACATAGTGACGGTTTGTCGAGGATGCAACCCGTGGAAATCGAAAAACAAATGAACGGTAACTGTGGACTGGGTAGGGGTATCTCAGAATAGCATCAAAAATTAAGAAAATGAATGACTTGCGTCGCCAACAAAGACGCTAATGAGAAACAAGCCACCACGCTTAGGTTGGGTATGTCCGCAACGGAAGGCAGTTGCGCGGGCGGTGAATAAACAGAGAGTAACCAGCCTCGTTCACAGCGCCTGTTTCAAAAGAGGAGTGACAACGAATCCTTTCCGTGGCTTAGACCGGCTGCGAGCAAACATAGGCACCGGAGGATCTATGCGAGGGCGGCTAAGAAGCGAATAGATGCCGAGAAAGAAGGACCCTAGGAAAGTAATAATCGTAAATACCGACAAGCACAAAGAGAGTGGAAACTCCGGGTGAGGATAGAGGACACCAATGCTCTAAGGACGGGAGGGATGACAACAGGGGAAGATGATTTCTTTGCTGGCGGAGATCTGAGAGGAAAAGGTCGCTCCGGCTCCATGAGTGTAATTTACCGTTGTGAGACAACCTAGTCCATAACCACCTCAGCCTCACGTGTTTCAGTCGGGTAGCTATTTTTGGCTGCATCGTGAAATATTACAGTCTTGGCCAGAATTTAGAAAGATGTGACACCGTATTGACGGTAGAATACGCGGTTTGTGGGCCACTACAAATAGCGTGAGGGGACATTCAATACAACCATCCATACGGCCGGTATCAGCTTTACCTATAGTAGTCTAGAACGTTCTCCAGATACAAACATGCCAAGACTGGAGAAAAGACTGTGTCAACATCAACATTTCAAAAGCTTAGCACAACTGCCTCAGCGGTCACATGGACGATTCCCGGAGGCTTACGACAATCATTTATGCTGGGATCAATACTAAGACAATGAGATTGGGTTATCAGAATCAGAATATAGGCACATTAGTCATAATCGTACAGTGGAGATCAGCGTGTGAATTTCAAGCCTGCGAAACAAAACAATGATCATAAAACTCCCGATGCTAACAGAAGAACTTATATACCTTCTTCCATGTAGGCCACTCTGCCTGCTCGGCTCGTTCCTGCTCAATTAAATACTGAAGATCGAGATCGCGACGACCGGTTTGCAAGTCCATGTCCTTGGCCCGGATAAATGGTGTCTTGAACCAGAGCTTATACGGGATGTAAAAGAACAGGACAACCGGGGCAGCTAGATATACGGAAAACCAGGCCTCAACAAGCTCACCAGCAGTCATCGTGCTATAACCGATTGGCGCAAATCCAACCCAGAACTGTACGACCAAAACGAGACAGTTGAACAAGAACCCGACCCAGGAGCCAATAACTCCCGGTTGTGATTGGAAGGCGAGCTCTTTTAAGCTGTGGCCCTGAGCCTTCCAGCCACTGCGGAAGCGAATGTGCGCCAAACAAACCGAACCCCAGGTGAAGATAGACGAGAGACCAGATATAGCCATCATCCACTCAAAGGCCACTTCTTGTTTGTCCGATGCGGCTAAGAAACTGAGCAAACCGAGGGCAGAGGCAATTAGAATTGCCCAGAGAGGGCGACCCTTGCGATCAATGTATGACAGAAACTTGGGAGCTTGCCCCTGCTCGGCAAGAGCTGCTAGGGTACGAGAGGAGCCGTAAACTGACGAGTTACCCACAGACAAGACCGCAATCATGATAACGACGTTCATGATAGAATCTAGCACGGAGATACCAGCATTGTTAATGGCAATCACAAATGGGGAGGCCTTGGCGTCAGCACTGGAGCTCCCATCAAGAAGTCGCTCATCGTCGTAGGGAACAAGAAGGCCAACCAGGGTGAGCGATACAATATAGAAGAGGCAAATACGCCAGAACACCTGCTTGACAGCTGTTGGGAGTGATTTCCGAGGGTTAGCAGTCTCAGCTGCAGCCAAACCAACGAGCTCGGTTCCAGCAAAGGCAAACGCGGCGTTGACAAAGACACTGCAAAGACCTTTGAACCCGTTATGGAAAGCACCGGGTGTGTGCCAGTACTGTCCACCGATATACCCACCCTTAGGACCTCCGCCGCAGTTCAGGATAATACCGAGGATTCTATCGTACGTCAGTTCTGCTGTTTAAGGTAATGGATACTGGGGAAAGTATTTGGCCGGGACACTTACATAAAGCCAATAACAGCAACGACCTTGATGAGTGAGAAGATAAACTCGGCCTCACCGTAGCCCCTGACGCCGAACAAGTTGATTGAGACGATCAATACCCAAAAGATCGCGACCCATGCAGCGTTTGAGATATCAGATTGCCAATAGTCGACGGTAATTGACGCAGCTACAATTTCCAGCGGCAGCACTACGAGCCATTGCAACGCATAGTTCCAACCCATAGCGAAACCCCATGCCGGATCAATGAACCGAGTCGAGTAGTGCGCAAATGAACCTGCGACAGGAAAAAGAACCGCCATCTCGCCCAGTGCGTGTACGGTGCAGTAAAGCATGCACCCGATCAAAGCATAGGCAATGAGAACCGACGCTGGGCCACCCGTGGCCAAGACTTTTCCGGATCCGACAAATAGACCAGTGCCTAGTTACGTCAAGAGCGGGGGTCAGAACTAGAAGCACTTTATAGTTTGGAACAGCATGGTGAAATGATCTGCGCATACCGATAGAACCACCGATGGCAATCATCTGCAGATGACGGCCCTTGAGGCTACGCTGTAAGGGTGAAGCAGCAGTCTTCTGCGCGGCGTTTTCGATATCGAAGGACTTCCCATCTGCACCGGAGGACGCATGGGCGGCTGTGACATGGGCATTGGGATCCCTTTTGAAGCTGTCCCATATTCTGCGACCAAGACCCGCCTGTGTTGGCTCGGTTTCTCCATACAAAGGTGGCGGGGACTCAAAGGCTGCTCCCCGGGGCTCGGCCTTAGCTCGATTTCGTCCTTCTCCATGGTGAACCACCTGGGTTTTCCTCTTCAGGAGGTCAAACGATGAAACCAAAAGAATCAAAGGGTTGTAGTAGAAGTAGTGGATATGCTACTCAAGGGGGAAAGGAGAGAGGGTAAAAGGGAAAGGATGAATGTATCTAAGCTCTCAGAGAGTACGAGGAGGGCGGCGACCACTCGGGACAGAAAGCTTGCTGACCGAGAGAGGAGCGGGAGGGAAATGCGTGGATCTATAAAGGAGGTACGGCAGTACACCGAATGATGACGGGGCGGGTTATCTGCGTTATTTATATATTAAATGAAATAAAATGGAGAGCAAATAAAATGAATATTATTTATTTTGAAAGAGGGGGAAAAGAGAATCAAACGCCATGGACCGATTCACACCACCTACTTACTACTTGGGAAAGGTTCCGCAGCATTAACCTATTATCTACGAGCAGAGGGGGAGGAGAAGTCATGGCAGCGCGGACATGCCGATTTCCAGTTCTGGTCTAGTTCCATGTGGCTTACTGGAAAGAGAGTAGGAGGAGGATCTGGAACCGGACAATTTAGTGGATGCAAGTGCAGTACGGGGAAACCTTAAGTTGGCCCAATGGACGAGGGTCCTGATAGCAGACTGATTGCATTTAATTTCATTATCATTACCATTACTTGACCGTATCGATAAGTCCGGATTTGCGGGAATTTCATGCGACCCAAGGACTCTGCTTAACTCGAGAGCAAATGAATTAGGGACTAACCGGACCTGGGTTTTGAACCCGCCTTAGGTCGCACATCCATGTATATCCTGGTGGGGATACGGAAGAACGGACAAGTACTACTACAGGTATGTAACCGACGTAGTGACAGGGTTCATACCAGAATAAATTAATCCATGGTCTTTTCTTCCTTCCTTTATTTTCCTTCTTCCCCCTCCTCTCCTTGCTTTTCTTGCCAACTCATCCCCGTCCATGTACCTAGGGGGGCCTGAATTCATAGTCCACTCGGGCGGCTGAGCGAGCAGTGAACTTGGTTGCTTCCCGTACTACTATACTCAGCGAGGTACATGGCCGTCAAGTAACTTTCAGCGCCACCAGGCCACCGCCTAGAATCTCTCGTTCTTGGGTCAGCAGAGACCGTGAACTGTATCGCGTGATTGACTTCTCATACGAGTTTGTACTTGAGCTTGATTCACCAAGAAAGTCACTTGGCGGCGGGTTCAAATGAAAGCGGTTATGGTTTGGTGGTTAGCATTAATTGTAAATGTTATTTTCCGAACGGGAAAAGGTTAATTTCTTTTCTATGTTAGTTGCCGTCAAGCTGATTCAATAAGTGGAGTCATGTGTCGACATGGCCCCAACCATCTACTATTTGTACTGTACATACTATCAGTGCTGGGAGCTTATCTCCCCAATCTGGTAAGTACCTCATTAGCCAGTCATTATCAGTTTATCAGTGATTGCTATCAGAAGATGACCTGATCCACTTGAGATATTGTCTGAGGTGCGTAGAGGTAAGAACTTAGTGCCACGCGATACGCTGCGTGGCCCTGCAATCATACGTGAGCTTCACATGCAAGATAAGAATATCAGAAAGTACGAGCTGCCGCTAAGCGACTCTCGAGGAGGCCGGGAATACCCAGTGGGACCTACTGGTGCGCCGGTACCTGAAGTACACCTGCCCAACCTTACTGTAAGAAATGTGAACGGTTCGTAACTTTCCAGAATAGTGGCAAACGCCACGCCTTTTGTTGGTATATCACCATCACGACTAGAGGAAGAAAAACATCCTCTCATGAATGGCGGGAAGAAGCGCTGAAGGGGGGTGGAGGAAGAGGGCCGTTCGCGGCCTGCAGCTTTCTTTCCCCGCTAGACCAGGGCGTTTTGGGAATCGATCGCCCCCACTTAACTTCCACGCGGTTGGCATCTGAAACCAATCATATCCCCAGCATTTACATAGATAAGAGAGTTAACTGCGTTGCCCAGAGCCGTGTCAGAGATGGTGCGTTCCATGGTTTCAGAGACTCGAGGCATTCGCCGAGGACTGTTGACTGTTGCCCGGTCCTATCCAGCGCCTCCTGTAATAATTCCTTTTCTCCGAGTACTTCGAAGTACGCTGTATGGATGTACATACCAGGTCAAAATTCTGTATAATCGACTTGCACAGGTCGGTGCAGCTGCCAATTAATGAAAACGCAATGTATGCCTGTTTCGTGTTTCTATGACATACAATAACCTCGAACCCCTTGCAAAACCATCAGTTGAGACGTTTGTCCTCGTCTAGCTACTGCGTCTAACTTAGTTGAAACTTAAAAGGTAAGTCCTCATATTTCTTTTTGCTCCTTTGGACTAGAACGATACGCTTCGGAGGAAATCCTACTCGCTCGATTCTCTTATGCTAAGGGCGACCAATGCATGGAAGCACGGGAGAACACCAGTAGAGAAGGGGCCCTGAAAAAAGGCTCCTCAAGTATGTCAGATCTTTGCTTCGTCCGTGACGTGCGACAATTGATGCTCAGCAGTGAAACGGTCAACGTCCGACTCGGGCTACTGATCAGGATCTTGGTCGATGTTGCTAACCAAGATCACATTGGCACAAGGGTCGCGAGTTCCCAACACTCCTTGGCACCACTCTCAGAGTCCCGGCGCCCATGTCGGTTCGACTCGGTTGTGGTCTGAGTCCCTGACAAGGTCATTCAATGGGTAATAAGAATAGCCGAAGGCCGTGCTTCGAACCTTGGCATGTCAGGCAACCCTCATCTCAGTTTACCGCAAGATTGGAGCTGTACTCCTTGCAGTAATCTCACTTCCGAGCTCTTCGTTCAGAAAGGGGTTCCTCATGGATTCAAGAAAGCCTCGGCCCACACGCTCTTTGTTGGGATCTGTGCCCACTCCCAAACCGGTAAGACTAAACTATTCCATAGACCATCACCTCGGTATCATCTGTACATAAGAAAAAAAAAAACCCCCCCATTTGAAAATTTTTCACGGGTTCTTTGAATAAACGGACCACTTGGTTAAGTTCCGTGGGAGCGGCACCGAAAGTAGAAAGAGTACGTGAAAAATAATATAAAAGAAAAAGAAAAAGAAAAAGAAAAAGAAAAGGTGTCGCCGTCAAAGTTTTCTCTGCTAAAGCGTGAGATCAACCTTAATTCTTAATTTTTTGTATGTCGGGCGGCGGGCCTAAACCACAGACCTCAAGGAACAGGACCATGGAACCAAGGGCATGAATCGAAGCCTTCACCTACAGAGATCAACCACATCTCGAGCAGGGGGATACGGTAACATCGCGTCAAACCAGAATCGTCTTGATTGGCGCAGGTTGCTTCGACGAGCCAATCAAGACTTCGACTTATATCAATCGTAATACTAGACTCCGTAGTGGCGCTGACACCACCTGCGCAGTCCAAGGCGTCAATAATATTTTCGTGGTTGCGAAGGAATCAAGGAATTCAATGACTGAGCTGCGTACATAAATGCCCAGAGAATCCTCGTATCAGACGTGGCAACAGATACCACCCTGAGTGATGGCAAGACCTCGTGGCTCTCCATGCCAGCCAATGGCAGCGCCACCGCAGCTCGGATGGTGGCATGCTCTCGAGGATTTGGTTGATCGGACTCCGTTGGCGTTGAGAATCCTCCTGTCACCAATACGACGCAGAGCAAACGGGCGAAAGATAAAATTGGAATAATCAAAGTAAGAAGCGATAATTTACAGCAGTCCGCGTGAGATGACGCCGGCCTTGGCTGGTATACATCCGGTTAAAGTATCTTTGTGAAGGTTTTGCGTCGTGTAATCCCGAGTATCAGAGAAGAAGAACCTGTGCCGCCCCGCCACACTTTAACCTGTGTAATATGCTTTTTTTTCCCTGGCAATGTCCTGTATTTGCCAATAAGTGTTTCGCTTATCCCCATGTATCACGAAAGACCTCGTAGCATAATATCATACGTTTTTTTTTTCTTTGTGGTTTCCCTATTTTCCAATCATTTCTACCATTGTTGTACAGTTGGAAGAAGGTAAGTTAAAGTTGTTCCCAAACCCACACCTCCCACGACCATAACGCGGGGAAGCAATTCGTTACATAACAGTTTCCACTCTAGATCGTCAGCAGCTTCTCCATGAATCTGGGGTAGCGAAGCAACCTTCGGTATTTGCCTCTCGATGACAATGAAAACTTTGGATTCGAACAAATCTTGACGTCAAATCCAATCCCCCGACTCCAACCGGGCCGGTCCTGCAGATGCCAATGCGTCGTGGTGGGTCGATATGTTTCATTCGTGGTATTCCTACCACCGGATTTAGCAATATCGGTTACTAAGGGATATTCTAGGAATAACCATCCCTCGAGTTCGAGAAGGTCAAGGCCTTTAATCGACTTTCTGTTTCTCGCTCTCTCAGAGTGGAGTCAGAGGGGATGACGTCAGATATTGATGCGCCAGACGCTTGCGAAGCCTGTGTATCTTAGGGTAACTTGTCGCTCAAAGCGCTCCGCTATATTAAGAATATCTGCAGCTGTTCCTTGCGTAACTCTTTGGAAGAGCCAATACTATTGCTCGACTCTGGTCCGTGACGGCCTTCAAGGTTTTGGCCGTCTGAACGGAGCTAGTGAAGTAACAAGTGGAAGCTACCTGCCTCTACTATCTCCTCTCGTTGTCTATTTATCCAGGCTTTTGCCCCTCAAGAACTACTGACCTCGGACAGCTCTTTCAAAACCTAGTTTGATGTCTTTTGTGCCTCATGCAACGGATGCTAGTCTCTTGTGACAGAGCGAGACGGGATATTACCGCTGACTCACTGAGATATGGACAACAGCTATTCCCATAGTTATAGACTGCTTCAGGCTTGCAGACCATGCATCCGTTACTGTTATATGTATATCGACTCCATATGTGATGGTACACCTTGTAGTTGAACTTCATTATACTACACGGGCACAATATCAGGAAAGTCCGTAGGGTAACTTCTTCATATAGCGGTGGAGCTCAGCTCCTCACTATATACATGAGCCAACCAACTAGCAAGCAAGTTATATCAGATATTGCTCCCAAGCCAAGAGTATAGGAAGTATATAAACTCTCTTTACCTGTTCACCAGATCAAGTCATCATTTTGATTCAAGGTATACTACTGATATAAGAATTAGTAGCTGAATACCCTTCTAGAAGCTGTGTTCTACCGCATATTCATAACATGATCAATCCCATTGAACGGGATTCTATTATTATAATGATAACCTTCTATCACTGCCCAAACATCCATTTAGTAGGGTGACTTACCTATAGCGAGTTTATCTAAATCTGCTAGACTATCGGTCTAGGGTACGCTATTCCTCAAGTTTATAAGAGTCGCTATGCTTAGTTGCTTTCAGCCAAGCATACCCTAGACCGATACGCTCAGAAGCTCTCTAATATGACTTGTTGGCTGAATAAAATCATTTCATTGGACAATTAAGTGCGGGCGTGAAAGCCAAACAAGACCTTCTAGGCTCTATACGCGTAATCGATATCTTATATGTAATCTCATCCTGATCGCGCTTACATCTGCCTTATAAGAGATAGATATTTGCTGCAAGTAGAGGACCTTTTGTATATAGTGGCGCAATTGAATAAACAATCTAGATAGTAGATCAACCCGTTTTTGCAATTACAATAGAATCTATAAGATTTCGTTTATCATCATTGACAAAATCTTTCTTTTTTCATCAAGGCAAGTAGAAAGCATTGGATATCAGAAACTAAGAGCTACCGACCGGCCCTTCACCACCAGGAATCAACTGCAGATCCGTTAGTAAGACGACAATAGTAGAGGAATAGATAATATCATCCATACCATGCAGACGTTGTTTCCATTTAGCAAGATCTTGGGGAGCTTAACCTGAGCGCCGGAGTAGTCGCTGTTGCTGTTAGTCCGAATCTGCGGGGCGTGACCAGAGATATAGGCGGATTAAGAAAAACTACACGGCTAGCTGTACTCACAATTCAGTCACGTCTTCCAAAACCATGTCTACCCTTATGTTAGTATGGGGTTCTTTGAAATGTGATAAGAAGATAGAGGGTAACTTACTGACGTAGTCATCAAACCCGAGCAAAGTACCAGCGAATTCTGTAAGCGTCAGCACACGGTTGATTCTCTCACGCCGACCGACAAACCTTTGTCATTCTTCATGATGACCCAAATTCTAGAACCGACGCACTTGTCGATCAGCTCTATGGAAATTATTAGCGAGAAGCTCCAATAATACACCAATGGTTGGGTCGTTACCGAGGGGAAGGAGTTGAGAAGCCATTATGGATGAAGTGAGTGATAAATGGAGCTAAACCGAGGAAGTACAAGGAGTTTAATCTATATTTGAACCGCTAAAGCTACCCTCTGCAAGAAAGGTTTGGCCTGGCTTGATATAGAAATCGCACGCTGTTGGGCGGATCCTCGATCATTCCCATTCGGACAATCTTGGCGGGAGGGAGCGCACGTTTATCCGGCCCGATAGTCTTGCGCCAATCAGATCTACGAATACTTCTTCAGGGACAAAGGTTATTCTCAACTTAATCATACAATGGTTCATGGGGACTTATAATCTACCTGCAATCCCAATAGGCTACTATTAGGGGCGTATTCAGTATGACTGCTTTGAGATATGCCGTCTCCTCGATTTATCCCAAGAGAGTTGAAACACTCTTTATGGCAGACGACAAAGCATCAACAAGGCTTTGTTGTGCACAATGATTCGCTCCGTATACTCAAGAAAGCCTCGTTGGTTCATGTTTCCTTTCATCTGATCTCCTGGCTGACGGTTTTTCAGTCGGCATGATGTTTCTTATAAAAGCTCGGCTCTCACATCTTCTCGAGCCTCCATTGCCAGTTCAAAACTTCGCCTTAAGATTGATAGCTATATCTCGCCTACTAGCTACTCAACGTTGATACGCAGGCCGTGTGTTTTGAAGAATCAAGGACTTTTTAATGTCAAACCAGGCGGAAGCCGTGCTTTCTCTTCAACCACAGCCATGTTTCGAACAACGCTAGCTCATATAACTAGCCTGTTCAAGACCGGCTTCAAGAGCCAGCTCAGAAACCGTCGTATAATCGACGTCGCTGATGCAACTAAGGGGCAATCACGAGGCATTCCTTGCAAATATTTTACACATGGCCTAGTACAGTGTGAGAATTTGAAGGGGCTGGAACGACCCAGGTCTTCGACGACCGTATGCTGCAGTAGCCAGCGATACCCAAGTCGCTCCACGTGCTCTGCAATATGTGCGAAAGTGCAGCGCCCCAAATCAGGCTTCGGTACCAGTCAATATACACGTCCTCAGGCGGAGGGTGCCTCTGGAAGACGAGAACATACATCCATAGACTCAAACACCAAGAGGCCATGTACATCCAGCTCTGCAGCTCAGTTGGCAACTGAGCATATCAAAGATACAGAAAAACTTCCCAACATCGCTAAATCCATACCAGCGATCCCAGCTGCAGGCTCCCACGCTCAGCTACCCAAAGACAGCCCGGCTCCAAAGTTCGCTCCAATCTCAGGAGCGCACAAATTCTGGAGTCATCGACTATACAAGTCACCAGATGGGAAGGATATTGTTGTACACTACTGCAAAACCCTAGAAAGCGCCGAGACAATAGCGAGGATGTTCTCAGACGATCCCATCCTTGGACTCGACATAGAATGGAAAGCCAACGCCTCCGCGGCGGATGGCATACTGAAGAACGTATCGCTGATCCAGCTTGCGAGTTCGAGGCGAATCGCACTCTTCCACATAGCTATGTTTAGACCGGCGAGGAGTGTGGAAGACCTCGTACCCCCTACTCTGAAACGCATCCTCGAGTCCCCGGACATAACAAAGGCTGGCGTATCGATTAAAGCAGACTGTACCCGATTGCGCAAGTACGTTGGGATTGATACGCGCGCCATCTTCGAATTGAGCCATTTGTACAAATTGCTCAAGTACAGCCAGTCGGATCCAGGGCTCATCAACAAGAGGACTGTCAATCTGAGCGCCCAGGTTGAAGAACACTTTGGGGTTCCTCTGGCGAAAGATGCCGAGGTTCGATGTAGTGATTGGGCATCTGCGCTGGATTATGCCCAGGTTCACTGTAAGTGTTTCCTTTTCCCGAACGTGTAGGATTGCTTAACAGGGATTGTTTTTATAGATGCTGCGGCTGATCCGTTCGCATGTGTGTGTCTATTCAATACTATGAATGAGAAACGTATGGCTTTAGACCCCATGCCTCCTTTGCCGGCACATGCTGAGTTGAATTTACCAATTCGGATTGTTCATGAGACCCTGGTGAATACTGAGCCTGAAGTGGAGGTTATCGAGCCGATAGATAATCTACTAGTGGGGACTAAGGAACGTTCCTAAATCTGGTCTCTTTGTTGAGGTTAATAGTTTGGATAACATTCAAGGTATGACCGGGACTCGGGATGTTCTAAATCCTGTATCGGGTGCAATGGATAGATTGCGTACTCATAGGAGGCTTTGGATGTTTGAGAATATTCATTTGACTTTAAAATATCATCACATCTTCACCCTCTATTCATACTCCGTATAATGACAGGGGTTATTATGCCAAGTCTGCAAAAGCCATGCCAAGAATTGTGGACTCAGTATACCTGAAATAGATGAACAATTGTGGGTCTTCGCATGCTCTTAATTACAGGTCACTTGAGAAAGGGGGTATATTCCTCAAAAGACCGGAAACGACAACATAAAAAAAAGTAAATGGACGATAAGCAGGACTATATGTGGACCAGATATCAAACGCTGATATATGCGCGACCATACCCTATACTATATACAGAGAACAAATGGCTCGAACTAACCTCTCAGAGGCAGAACTTTAGATAGCAAGACATCTTGTCGACACAGGGGGCATTCGGGCTTCTCGCGTACCCAATCTCGCACACATGTCCAGCAGAATACGTGTCCGCATGTGGTGACACTAGGGTCTTTGAAGGGCTCTAAACAAAGCGTGCACCTGCTTTGCTGCCCTGAGGGAATCCAAGGGATTGCAGTGGAGTCCTCTGAGAGATCATACCGGGCATCAGAGGCAGGAAGAAGCGGTAGCGTTGGCGGGTTCTCAATAGAGTGGATCAACGTATCATCCTGACCCCTAGAATGGGTCGCCTCTGTCTCAAGATCTTCTTGATGCAAACTCAGCCCCACTTTCTTGACGTGCAGCACGCTCTGCACCGCGATCTGCAAGACAAGCAACACTCCTAGCACTTCGTACCCGACCCGCTGCTCATTCTCCTCAAGCTTCTTTGTAAATACATATCGCAGGCCCCAAAGACGTTTCGACAGATGGTAGTACGCGCCGGTGAAGTAAAAGGTCGCGATGCTCACAGCGTAGACAGGGTTCAATGACGTGACGGAATCAAGGTGTTCCAGAATATATTTTTGAATTCGTAACTTCGTGAAAAAGGACGGTGCCTTTGATGTGTCTTTTCTGCTAGGCTTTGTCCCCTCCCTGGCTTGTTGGGCCTTAAGCTGTTGCCGCGCGATGCTCCGCTCCAGCTTCGCCCGTAGTCGCTGGCGGAAAGCTGGTAGGATCCGCTGAAGAATCCAGGGCACAATGATACTGCTCACAATATATCCCGCCCGCCTGATAAAAGAAGGGAGCTGAAGTGTGTCATCTTCCAATTGGACAAGATCACAGTATTCCTCCCCCAACGTTCGGTTGCCGATCAGGGTAGTCAGGGAAAAGTATAGGATCTCGGTCAGGTTCTTGATGGTTTCGGAGTAGGTATGGGCAAATCGGGCTCCGCGGAGTGAGCGGATGATATTCTGAGCTTGCTGTACAAGATTTGAGGTAAGGAATAAGTCTTTTTCATGGGATCGAATGATATCCGGAGACGTCGCGAATGGGTAGAAATGCGCCGAGGGACTGGGCGCCGAGGCGGAGGTTGCAGGAGACAGAGAGAAATCTTCGTCCGCCATTGTCAATGTATGTACAGTGCGATTGAAGTAGTATAAAACGTTAGTACAAAGTCAGGTTGACCGAAGAAAGCTCGCTCTACCGTCTTATCATTGTCAACTGACGTGGTTATCATTCCCCCGGAGAATGAGCCTCCGCAGCGGCGACATGGTATACCTCGGCAGTCCACACGTGAGGTGTCGCTCCACGTGACCCATTTCCATCTGGAAACCTGGAGCCAAATTTGGAAGTCTCGACCTGCAAGGAGTTAGACCCGAAACAGACAAGTGTGCATCCTCCCAATCCGAACAGCCGCGCGGAACCGCCTGGACTCTGAAAGCGTCCCTGAGCGTCTTCATTTTCCGTCTAGTAATTATGAGAGTGTAAATTTTGGTTTTCAAACTCACCCCTAGTCACTCTTTATTTGGTTCAACTTCTTTTCGCTTCTGCTCTCCTCTTTAGACCCCCCTATTGTGATCTTCCCCTTTAATTGTGACCTTCTTGTCCCTTATCTCCCCTATCTTCTCCGTCCTGGCGCTGTAGTCCCGCGCCGCTTCAATGGAATATGGGCCCTGATCAACATGCTCAATTGGATCGCTTCAGTCTCTTTCTTCCTTTTCCCTATCGTGTGGCCGTGATCCTGGTTGCTGGTAAGCCGAGAGATACTGACGCTCTACTTATGTTATATTTGTGACGATGTTGATTCCAACGCACAGGCTTCTGGGGTTGGGGGGTCAATCTCCAATATCTTCTCAAGAAGAACATTGTAGGTTAACCCCTCTCTTCATTTGTATAACTTTTTTGAATAATATCTGACCGTTCTCAATTAGGATGTCCCCGCGCTCATCCGATACCCTGCCCGTCAATCTTCGTCCCAGCGACCCCACCATGTCTCGACATACCACTTAGCTACGCTCTTGACGATCCCCCTACTGCTCTCACTACTTATATTCTGGGCCGCTACCCATGGCTCTACTGAGAGGGTCGAATTTCTGGATTTTATCCCGCAGTCATATCTCATTATCTTCTTCATAATCATCCTTCTCCCTTTCAACCGTCTCGCGCGCTCTGGTAGACATCGCTTGCTCGTGACCCTGAAGCGAATCAGCATTGGTGGATTGGCAGAAGCTCAAGATGGAAAGTTTGGAGACATCCTACTTGCCGATGCGCTGACTAGCTATGCTAAGGTGCTAGCGGACTTGGTTGTCACTTTCTGCATGTTCTTTACCTCGGGTGTTTCCAGCACATCCAAGCCGGATCGCAAGTGCGGACACGATTGGGTGATTCCCCTGGTCGTTGCTATTCCGAGTATTATCCGATTTCGGCAGTGTTTGATTGAATATGTGCGTGTGCGTCGAGCTGGTTTCAAACTGGAAAATCAGGGCGGCCAGCACCTAGCCAACGCTCTGAAATACGCCACCGCGCTTCCCGTCGTCTACCTTACCTCCAAACTGAGGAACTATAACCCTCTGGAGAGCTATGGATACAGCGAGATTAGCCTGTCACGACTATTGTATGTTGTTTGCATTTGGTGTATAAGTTTGAGAGCAGTAGAGCTTGGCTAATGACATCCCAGATACATGTTCACTTTTGTGAATTCCACTTACTCTTTCTACTGGGACGTCACCAAAGATTGGGACTTGACCCTCCTAACTTCATCACGCCGCAGCGCACATCATCCTTACGGATTACGCCGGCACCGCCATTTTGCGGATCGGCAATACTATCTTGCTATTCTTGTAGATCTCGTTATTCGGTTTTCATGGTTGTCCAGGTTTATGCCAGGGCTTGTCTGGCTCTGCGAGACGGAAGTGGGCATCTGGTTGCTTATGTCCCTTGAAGTCGCACGCCGGTGGATGTGGATCTTCTTGCGTGTGGAGACCGAATCTGGTGAGTTATATGTCGCCTATAAGCTCATTGATAATGTACGCTAATTTGGTATATATAGTCAGGAACAGCCGTGGACCGGCCCCTGATGATATTCTTCTCGGTGAGTTTAACGGTAAATTGGATGCAGACTGAGCAGCAGCCGTACTCCAAAGTTGTTGAACACCACCCTTTTTATAAATGACACGACTTGGTATATCCACGGATGTAGGACTTATTACTGTGATTATGCATGTATTTCACTTTAGTTGTTATTCTCTGCTACGCCCTTCGAGCGTTTTGCTCATCATTCGGTCCATTTCCCAGATCACTATATCGCATCTTCGACCAAGCTAAAGACTTTCAAGTGACCATCTGTATGATATTTGCCAAGCATTGCGAGCTATCGCTGTGCGCAGTACATAGTGGCAGGTCTTTTTTTTTTAAATTCTGTTTTATTTTCTACATGCAACTACGCTACGGACATATGGGTAATAAACAATTACTCTCGACTTGGAGATCCAAGACCAAGAAATGTAACCAAAAAAAAGTTTCAACAAATACGACACCCAAAGTATCATGGATAGTGATCTAGTTGACCTCGAGTGAACTCCATCGCCCAAATTACCGCTGCCAAAACCAAAGAGACAAGGTGAAAAATTAGCCAGAAAGGTGCGTCGTCCTGAACGCTGGTGGTTGTTCATGACATGAGAGATGTACATACACTATATAACAAGATTATGTGAATGATATTTGCCGTCGAACGTAAAGGAAAACTAAGGATAGAACAGGGGCGGGGAAAAGTGAAACTCAGATACAGCATTCGTTCGGTCTTGGAATGGGAGATCACCTAACCCTACTTTCTATTGTGGGGAGGATGGTTCTCGAATAGGTCTTCCAAGTAGGCACTAGGGGTCCTTCCTTGCGTAGGAGATGCAAGATTGACAGAGCTATTGGACGCCATGTGGGAATATCTCGAAGTGTTAAACTGAGGTTCATAGACACCAGGGGTATGGGTAGGTGTGCCAGGTGGGCTGGGTCCCGATTTTGTCCTCGTGTACCCCTGTGCCTGCGGGCCCATACCCGGAAGATCAGGCGCGGAGAACTGCATACTCTGGTGGCTTCCGCTACCAGCAGCAGCGCTCCCAGCAGCATAATACCCCGCGGGAAGATAACTTGAACCTCTGTTTCCACCGCTGTGCATTCCAGCCGTGGGGGAGAAGAACAACCCACTGTTGGATCTTGGGCCCTTGGAGGAGCGAGGGTTTGTGCGATGCCCGCCGCTCATTTTTTCTAAGGAGACGGCTGGTGCTGGGCCGCCGTGCGAGCGGTGCGCAGATCTCTTTCTCCTATGGCGGAGGAGTCCTTTTGCCTCGGAGGATTGTATAATGGCTGCTTTGCGGACGGACCGGTTTACGGACCATGCGACCATGCCGCGCCATGCTAGTAGCGCGAGACCCAGGAAGCCTAGAACTGCACCGACGGCGATGAAGACGGTCCCTTCGGGAGTATCTGATGTTTGCATGTATGGTGCATCGGCGAGTGGGGGCACTGTCACCACGGGGTAATCGTTCGTTTCGGTGGAGGTTGTACTGGAGTCTGTAGATGTTGAGGACCCAGTTGTTGTTGTCGTTGCTGATTTGTCTGTTGTGGACGCTTTCGTGGTCTTTGATGTCGTTGTAGTGCCGTCGTTTGTCGTAGCTGTAGTAGTCTCCTTAGTCGTTACATCCGTTGTCGGCGCAGGGTCATCCGCAGTAGTATCCTGGGCGAAGGATATTTGCGCCATCATCAAGATGGCAATGAGGAGTAAAAGCCATGTGAAAGAGGGTTGGCGGCGGGCCTTGCGAAGGCCCGCGGCTCGAAGATTCATTGCTGAGACTGTTTAGCGAGTGAATGAGCAATATCGATGTTACTTGTTTCAGAGGAGAATGAGTTGTGGGCCGGGACGATTGCGCCTGGTATGTCGCGCTGACGATCCAAGGAGTTATATAAATTCTCACGCAATGAAGAGTTACCAGCCTTGGTGGTCAGAGATATGTTTGGATGCAATGGCGGCCGTCTGTCGCAAGTTGTGGGACGTGGATCTCTATCGGATAGTCTCCACCAAAACACAGGATCGACAGCAACCAGATCTACTTCGGGGCACAACGATAGTATAGAATAGATAGAATGCCCAAGTGAAAGACAGACACTACTCGTCAGCGCCGCGATGGTTATATCAAATGACGAAGCGAGAGATGAGGGCAATTTTCAGTGGGATAACCCCCCCCCGGAGATCAGCGACAGGAGATCCGAGACCACAGCCGTTGCCCCGTCACGGGCCTTTGTACGCTCTGCCTTAGGCTCTGGTCCTGCGGAGAAGTCAATTTCACGTGATACCCTATATTTAGGTCTCCTGTCTTAACAAAACCCTCGCGCTAGTCTCAAATACATATGACATAGTTCATGGTCAAAGGGACGAGAGAAGTGCAGCAGGTCTTCTTAGGTCCTGCACGAGCAAGCACATCAGACAGCTTTGGAAGTTCCGTAACTAACATTCAGACCCGTAAACACGCATGGAATATACAACATAGCATACACGATAAAACCTTAATGGTCTAGAGCAATTGATGACCGGCTTTCAACCGATTTGTCATGCCGAACTAAAGAGTAAAAACAAATTCCAGGACGTTTATTCACCACACCAACCACTAATCACTGTTGCTTCTTCTGCACACTTGCGGACGTGTCTTTTTCAAAAGCGGCGTAAGGAACTTCGAGACTGGCAAGGGCGCTGAAACCGACATACAAGATCATAATGAAGACAAAGGTTGCCATGAGTCCCATGAAGAGGCCTATTAACGTTAGTTCCCGTCACTAACAATGTTCAAGAGGGGCACTTTATGTCAAGGTCGCACCTGGTGTGAAGTATTGATACTCTTGGAAGAGGGACTTGTTAGATGCAGGCTCCGAACGAAGGCTATGCGCCGCAAAGTCTCGCTTCAAGTCCATGTGGACGGGATCTTGGTAGGGATCAGTTTCGGATTGATAGATACCCGAATCGGACTCTCCAAATTCCGTCGGTGATGTGACATAGAGAATGGTGTACTTCTTCGACGAAGGGATTCGTTCAATAATGTCAGAGAGTAGGCCGTCTGCAGCACAGTTAGAAGATCTCCTCATGCCATTATTGGGTTGCTCACAGACCATTGTCAGAAAGTTGCTGAGCCCTCTCCTTCCCCAGAGGGAGCACAGGGAAATCAATAAAAAGGACTCGGGGGTCGGTGCCAAAGTCGGATGGATAAGAGCCAGCTAAAGCACCCAGTTAGCGAGAGTTTCAACATCTTTGCTACCTTGAATTCACAGGACATACAGGAACCATCGATAACAGTAGTTTGTGCCCCACATTCCTTCTCGATAATGCTTTGGATCTGCTTCGCTTCAAGCACACCAACAACTTCGTTGACAGTCGCAATCGACCGGATAGTCTTATCCTTTCCCGTCATCTTCGCGCCCAGGCGGGGAGCGGACTTGCGAGTCGAGAAATCGGTGCTATGAACACCGGGTTGGGAAGCAATGACATAGTAGTCGGAGGGACACGAGCTAAGCTTCGAGGAAAGGTCATCCAGCAAGGAGGCAGCGGTTTTGAGTTGGGACGAAGTAGAGAGGATCCTAAAGGAGCTTGTTAGCTGGTTCTTTGAGGAGCTGCCTGCGATAACTCGAATGACTACCACCAAAACATACTCAGAGGTCGATGCAAGGAAGAAGGGCGAGGTGTCACGGAAGGCATTAACCGTTGCTGCTCCCAGAGCAAGCAGTGAAAAGCTGCTCAAATGCATAGTGGTGGATAGGATTTAGCTTCAGACAAGCACAGGCTGTCCGAATGGTGAAAGGGTCCCCGGAGGTATGATGGTTGGAGACAGGCTGGAGGATTGGCGGAACGGGGCTCGGAGGCGGTCGACCCAAATCACCGGCAAGGCTTAGCTTCACTTTGATCATCGTGCATGCGATAAATTTTGGGGGAAAAAAAAAGTTGGCCCTTTTATATCGAACCCATATCACTCCGTCAGTGCATTATCAACGCACTTTTTTTTTGTTTTACTCTCTACTAGTACAGTATATACATTTTTTGTTTTTCTACATAATATCATGGGACCACAAGCGAAACGGCGAAAGACGAGCAAAGTCGAAGAAATCACCTTCGATCATTCTGCCCGCCATGAATTCCTCACAGGTTTTCGCAAGCGAAAACAACAACGAATTAAGCATGCGCAGGAAGTTGCAGAGCAGAAGGCTCGAGAGATGAAGAGAGAAGATCGGAAACGAGTTCGTCATTCCTTGATAGTGTATCTCAGTAGAAATACGTTTATTAATTGCAAATCCTGCACAGATTCGGGAGGAACGAGAAGCAGAGTTCAAAAATGCTCTCGAAGAGCATCAAAAACAACTAAAGAGGCTTAGGGAAGAAGAAGATGGGGCTATCTCAGGTTCAGATTCGGAAAGCGACGAAGATAATGATGAGTGGGAAGGTTTTGAAGAGCCACCTGCAGTGGACTACGAAGCGGAGTACATTGACGAAGACAAGTATACTACGGTAACAGTAGAAGAGATGGATGCTTCTAAGGAGGGCTTGCTACGAGCACAGGGGCATGGTTCGGACGAAGAGCAAGAAGGTGAAAAGGAGAAACCGACGTCCGAAGCGGATTCCAAGCCAAAGCCGGTAGAAAAACCCAAGAAGGCATCGGACAAACCGAAAAAGAAGAAGAAGAAGTTCCGGTACGAAAGCAAGGCGGAACGCCAGCTCACTCGCAAGAAAGAGCGCCTTTCAAACAGCAGGAAAGCAAAGGCACGGAAAGAACGGTAGCGCAGGTTGATCCCCACAAAAATTCATGCATCTTCGAACCAGTTGACTTTGAAATACCCCTGAGGAGACTCTCATTGCTTATGGTCTATGTTACTGTGGGCAAGTGGATATATAGGCAGAGGGCAGGTGGATGACAAGATGACGAGACAGAGATGCTACTGGATTCGGCTCCTGATGGCAAATGCTAAATAAAGTAATCTGCAACACGCAGGGAACAAAAGTTATTATGTTAGAAGAAAGGTCGAGCCGAGGTTTTCCCAGAATATTGCATCTGCAGGCAACCCTAGCCTTAAACATTGCTTATAGAAACCTCCAAGTCGTGGAGATCCTTCTGCAACTCGGCGTACTTCTTCGCCATCTCCTCATACTTGCTTTCCCACTCATCACGAGACGACTCAAGGGCCTGCACTTTGCGCTCGTAGTGGCCGGCTTTAACATCGGTTTGGCGGAGCCTATTGAGCACCAGCGTAATCAGTAATTGTTCGCCGACGATGAAAAGGGGTTCCAAGGAAAACCATACTTCTCAACTGTCTCCCTGGTGTTCTTGTCGGCATTCTCAAGCTCCTCTTCCAAGAGCTGCAAGCGTCTCTGAAGGGTTTCATTCTGAGTATCGTGCTGGGCGCTCTGGTTGGCAGCATCCTTGGCCTCCTTGAGAGCGGTTTCCAACTTCTCCACCTCACCCTCAAGAAGCTGGTTGCGGTGGTTGAGGGATGTGATCTCCTGTTCCTTCGCCAGGTTCTCCTGTTCCAGCGTCTTGACCTTGCTCTTCAACTCCTCTGTCTTCTCCTGAGCCTCCTCAGCCTCCAGGCGGAGGGCGTTCATTCTCTAGACACTACCCGTCAGCCCCTTTTCCATCTTCGCATTTATTTCATTCGGTAAACGCGAACCAAGACGGCATCCCTTTAATCGCCTCCAGGCAGGATACCGTAATGCATGATGAGGGAAGTTCACGTAAGGAGAAAGGGTGATGCATGTGTATTTTCGGGAGCTTAAAAGCTACCCCGCCAACAGGGGGGGAATGGATACTCACCTCCTTGATCTTGTCCATATTGACGATGAAAGAAGGTTAAATTTATTTGTACGGGGGAAAGACAAATATGTATTCAAGAAGAAGAATGTATACGAGTAGCAAGTTATAAAGGCTTTCGCTCAGCGAGAAACCCGACAGAATCAATAACGTGTTCAAATGTTGGGAGTTGGTTTTGGGAGAAGAAGAAGGTGGAGTGACTGCCTCCTGGCGGTCAGCCCAGGTCAGTTTGGTTCTAACCCCTTTTAGCCAATAGTAAGGGCGGTGTCTGACTGTGGCGGCCAACCCACGGATTGGCTGCGACCGGTCCCAAGGGATCGACCTCCTGTCTCCACGGGCAACCACCACAAAACACTTTGCTGGGTAAGGTGCGTCGGGCGTCTAGATTCGGACAGACAACCCATATCCTCACGACCTCGCCGATTCTCGCGGTTTCAGACGACCCTCAGCTTCGATCCCAACAACTAGTACCTACATTTTCGGCTGTGCATGATCAGTGCTATCTCATATCCGCCACTATGCTGGCCCTCCGTGACCAAGAGAACCTGGTACACGCTCATCAGACCGTTGCCGCGTCCAAACCTCTGAACCAAGGTGTCAAACAACTACAGCCCAAAACCCCGGGGGCACGCGCACCGAAAACACCATTCAAAGTTCCATTGAACGATGAAAATGACCCGCTGGCATTTGGAAAGAAAACGGTGAAGGGAGCTGGTAAACAGAATGGAGCTGCAAAGCCATCTGTCAAGGATGCTTTTGTTACTCCAATGGGTATGCTTGGAGGGGTAGCACAGCGCATCTTGCTCAGAGGCTGACAGATGCAATAGCAGAGACTCGTCAACGCGCGCCGTTGGGCATGAAAACAACCAATGCGAAAGCTCGTGGTTTACAGACCCCTGCGCCTCCCGCTGGGGCTGTGAAGCCAGAGAAGACAGGCAAAAGAGCCTCCACGCAGAGAGTGAAAAAGTTTGCTCCGCTGTTGGAGCAAAGCAAGGCTGAGGTACATGACAAACCAGCTGAGGGAGATGTTCCCGACATCGAGTACATGCCCCCGAAGCCGAAAGGTATGTTTCCAAGGAGTCGCAGGCATGCCAGAAGGCCATGGTATTTAACAATATGTAGAGCTCCCGGATATTCCTGATGAAATTACATACGATACAAAATTCCCTCAGTTTCAACCGAAGAACTTGGCGTTGGGGTTAGAAACAGTTTATGGACATACTGAAATCGGTCCCGATGGTCTGACCAAGAGGGAGCGCAAGCTTCAGGAGGATTCTATCGCATACGACAAAATGATAGATGACATGATCTTGAAACAAGTCGAAAGCATTGGTTTTGAAGAGGCCAGTGACAACGAGCAGAATGAGCCTTGCGTGGAGGAAGTACCGCCGCGTCGCTATGAAACGCGTCGTACCCGCGCCATGAGCGCCCGCGAGAAGCAGACCAGCAACATCCCAACGGTTCGCGCTCGTGATGCAGCCGCTGCTCTTTCTGGTACCGAACGCACTCTCCGACCTAGGCCTGTTTCAATCCCAAAGCCAAAGCCAAGAGTTGCGTCATCCTTATTTTCGTCGAGAAAGCCCAGGACGCCGATTAACCCATCATCCATGCACCATACCGCAGCCGTGGCCAACTCTAAAACAACAGTAGGGTACACCAAGGGCCGGGACGTCTCGTCCAAGCTACATGGCAAATCGCCCAGCACTACGAAAGGACAGCCAATTCCCCAGGGGATTTTCTCTACTGACACTTACGTGCGCCCGTCTGGGACCCCTCCTCTTGAAACCGATATGGTGCCTCTTGCACATGATGTGGGTCACTTGACGGCCAATCTTGAGGACGTGCTCCCGGTGTATGAGGAAGACGAGGAAAGCTTGAATTTCCAGCTGACGCTGTGAACGGAGGTTAATGAGCACGGTTCCATATCCCGGAGTAAAGGGTTAGCGTTCTATGGGGTTTGTTTCTTTAACGGGAGTATGACATAGCCCTGTTTTTCTTAGCTTTGACGGTTGGGGTGGCGACACGGTACCATATTGCATGAGACAGGACTTCCAGGGGGGGCGTTTTATTTGAAGTATCATGGGTTTACGGTCAACAGGATTAGAATTGATGTATGATTTTCCAAAGTGTGCGAGTGATAGTCAAAGTTGAAAGTATTTTTTTTTTCTTTTGTTTTTTAGCACAATTAAATTGGGTGGCTAGCTATCTCTTTAATTGATACTGTGTACAAGTGCATTGTCGAGGTAAATTTAGGTCAAGTTTCAGGGACCCTCCCGCAAGTCTGGGTCCAGCTTTAGGTCCCAAAGTTGCACTGTCCTTCGGGACCCGAAAGGGCCTCGGGAATGGTTGATTCGGACGATTGTGATTGGGGATAGCCTCTGAAGCTCTGCGGCCAGACCTCACCTATTGGACCAGTAATATCCACCAGGTACGGGACCAGTACGTATGCATGGTGTATATCGTCCCCCAATTTCATAATCGAAACGGCTCTCTCAGGGCCACGAATCCATAACCCAATCGATCATGAACCGGCGTCCTTTCTCGCGGGTAGGTAGGTACTGGTACTAGTCGTTGGAATTCCTTCGATGGTAATGGCTTCACCGCTCCTACAGTTAGGGTCGGTTCACTAAGCCCAATCGGGTCCCTGGGACAATTTAAGCTGTCTGTCTGTATGTACAGGTCTGACCAAGGGAGTATCAAGGAGGACACAGAAACAAAAGCAAGCTGTGTGATTTCCACTCACGCGTACCATGAGTCTGCTGTCAAAACATGTAGAGAAGATGAATGCAATTGAGGTCACCTGCATCAAGAAGTAAGAAAACATTCGATCGCCTTTCAAGGGCAAATTCTGGGTCCCCTGGTGGTGGATTCGATCAATTGATCGTCCACTTTCCTTTCCTCGGCGCCCACCGCAAACACAAGCAAGGCAAACTAACCAAACGGAAACTAAAGCCCCCCCCCCCCGGGCGCCTCAAGTCAACATCTTCTGACACGCTCCCTCATCTTTTCTCTTTCCTTCCTCATCCTCTCTCCCCCTCCCATTCCTCCCCTCTCCTCCGCTTCAGTCAATTCGTCATGGCTGAGACGAAGATCCATCCTCAGTCCCCTGAGGAGTTCGAGTTCATTGAAACTCCCCCTGCTGATTGCACTACACCCGCCGAGCCCTGTGGTGTGAGGACAACGTCGGTAAGTCCGGACCTTGGATAGAAAACACATGGCTTGTTACGCTTCAATTGTGAGCGCCCATTGTGTACACCTCGCGCTAACAGTTTACCTACACAGTATCCAGCCATCAAAAATGCCCCCGTCCCAGCGGATTCTCCGGGCAGTGATAGCTTCTCCAACATCCTCCTGTTCTCTTTGCTTCTGCTCATCCCATGGTATCTGGCCCGCCAGGTCGGCGGTGGTTTCTACACCACCATCTTCTTCGCAATCTTCACCACTATCCCTATCTTGATGGCGTTCTGGTCCATCGCTTCATCCATCTCCCCCCGCAAGACCGAAAAGGCCAAGTATGCTGGCCGCCCCGTCGAACACTACCTGCACTTCCACAGCGAGCATGACCGTGCTGCCTACCGCGGAAAGAGCAAGATCCCCATGGAGGTTTTCTACGAGAAGTACTTCAACGGTGAGGTGGACTTCAAGGGTGATGCCCTGGAGTGCCTCGAGTTCCGTCACGACTGGGCCAACTTCCGCTTCACCATGGGCCTTTTCAAGCACTTCCTCTTCGGGTTCATCCCCGAGATGCTGATGCACACCCGTTCCCAAGGTATTTTGTCACCATCACAACTTCATAAAAATTACGCGCGTCCAATTGCCTTTCTAACCTGTGGAATTTTGCAGATGAGGAGCAGGTCCGCGATCATTATGACCGTGGTGATGATTTCTACGCTTGGTTCTTGGGCCCTCGCATGATCTACACTTCTGGTATTATCAGTGATCCTGACCGGGAGGAGACCCTGGAGGAGCTACAGGACAACAAGCTGGCTGTGGTTTGTGAGAAGATCGGCCTGAAGCCCGGAGACACCGTCCTCGATCTTGGTTGTGGCTGGGGTACTCTGGCCAAATATGCTTCTGTTCACTATGACGCCCAGGTTACCGGTATCACCCTTGGTCGTAACCAGACCGCCTGGGGTAACAATGGCCTTCGCAAGGTCGGTATTGAGGACTCCCAGAGCCGTATCATGTGCTTGGACTACCGTGACGCTCCTCGCGTTGAAGGCGGCTACAAGAAGATCACTTGCCTGGAGATGGCTGAGCACGTCGGTGTGCGCCACTTCACTACGTTCTTGTCTCAGGTTTATGACATGCTGGACGACGACGGTGTTTTCTTTCTCCAGATTGCTGGTCTCCGTAAGTCTTGGCAGTACGAGGATCTTATCTGGGGTCTCTTCATGAACAAGTATATCTTCCCCGGTGCCGATGCTAGCACCCCTCTTGGATTTGTTGTCGACCGTCTGGAGGCCGCTGGTTTTGAGATCAAGGCCGTTGACACCATTGGTGTCCACTACTCTGCTACTCTCTGGCGCTGGTACCGTAACTGGATGGGCAACCGTGAGAAGGTTGAGGCCAAGTACGGCAAGAGATGGTTCAGAGTAAGTCCCTCCGTGCCAATATACTACAACGTCGAAGTAAAGACAACTAACATCCGTCCTTTAGATCTGGGAATACTTCCTTGCTTCTTCCACCATCACCTCCCGTCAGGGTGGTGCCACCTGCTGGCAGCTCACCCTTGTCAAGAACATCAACTCCACCCACCGTATCGAGGGTATCAACACTCAGTACGGCCTTAAGGGTGCCCGTCAGGCTGCTATCGACTCTGTCGGCCATGGCGCCGTGCCCAGCGCCCATGTCACTCCCAAGGCATAAGTTTCACGCTGGCATGTGAGTACTGGTCACCGGCTGTAGTTTACACTTACTTCTGTGCCCGGTGTATACATGGACGAACTCTGTCTTCGAGCCTATTGGATCCAATGATATGATTCATGGAGCAACGGAGGAGATACCTTTGAAAGGGTTAATGAAACATGTGATTTTAGTCCCACTACGGGAAGAAAAGAGCTTAGGAAGCATTTCCCCAGGAAGGGAAAGAAGGGGCGTATGTTTTCATTGATAGCTGTTATGTATGTTTATAGCCATCTTGATTTCTATACCTTCGGCCCCACGTAGGGCGAGCAGGTTGTAAATCACAGGAGACATGTATTAATGAGAATAAAAATGATACGTATACGGTTGATTCCTTCGAGGTGGTATGGAATACAGTGAAACCCTGGTAGTCGTTTTCATGTACGCTCAACCCAAAGTGGAGTATGCAATTTATATCTCAGTTCATCCATCTCATAATATTTAAACTATATACAGAAAGAAGTTTCATTTACAATGACAGAACCAGCCAAGCATATCTCACTTAGTCAACACGCTTGTAAAGCTTCGCCTTGCTGCCTCCAACCCCAGAGCAGCACGCCGCTGCCGGCGCCGGCTCAGAGTGAAGAGTCGATTTATTGAATGCTTGGGACGAAGGAGGCACATCCAGAGCCGGGTTCTTCGTAAAGAAGCCATCTGGCCGAAGCATAACACTAATACGCTCCATAGGCATAACAGGGAAATCCTCAATACGAGGGTTGTGGGTGAGACCGAAAGCTAAGCAAAGAACGTTAGTTTCGTTGTCTTCTTGCAATCATTGTCTTAGCGGTAGGAAGGAAAGACTTACTGTGCCAAAGGACCACGTCCTCATTCTCTGTATTGTCGTTTCTCTGGACCCAGGTCTCGACACCCTCGGCCTTCTTGCTCTGGTTCGTGAATTCACCTGCGGCGAATAGTTCGTTGTCCTGGTACTTGGTGACCCAGATCGGCTTGCTGGCAAACTCGGCCCGCTGGTGTCCCACTGCGTGCTTGGGGAGTAGGAGCATTTGGCTAGGTGCTGCCATGAGTTTGTACGAAACGGGCTTGTAGGTGATGGGGTTGATGACGTTGTCGTTACGGATTTTGAAGACGCGGTGACGGTTAACGTCGGTGTTGGCGGAGCTGGACTTGCGGATCACGGTCTGTTCCGTGGTGTAGCCGACCAGATAGGGGTTATTCTCGTCCTCGGGGAGTGGCACACTATCTTCGTAGTAAACAGTGTTCTTAAAGCCGTCGATTGCAGGGTCGATACGGAGAGAGAACATGTGTTGGTGGTAAGGGGCCATGACGCCAGGGCCGACGTTGGTACCCCAGGGGACGGTCTCACCATTCAGGTTGTCGAAGGGAACGGTAGACAGGATACCTGTTGCACGGACTTCGAGCTCGACGTTTCCGGCTTGGTCGAAAATGTAGGCGAAGATGTATTCGTAGTTTGCGACGGTGCAGATCATCTGGAGGACGAGCTGACGATTACGCTTGACGGTTGCTGCGTTTGAGCGGTAATTTGTGTGCTTGTACTGCAAGCCGTTGTCTTGTTCGTGCATACAGATTATGTTCTTCAACAGGATGGGGTTGCCCTTCGAGTCGGATCGGTAGCCGTCGAAATATTTGATATGGCCTAAGCAATCGCAGCCCAAGGAGAGTTGGTTGGCGTTGAGACCGAAGCCGACGTCGCCGACGTCGAAGGCTTGTTTGCGGTGGTAGGGAGCTCGGGGGTCTAGGGGGAATTTATTAGATAATGGTGTATTTGAGAGGGATACAGTGATGCTTACCTCCGTACGGCACGGTCATTTCTGAGACATTCAGACGGTAGAAAACGTTGCGCTTGTCGTATGTGATATTGTGGAGGACGAGACCCTCCCGGTTATTGAATCCGACCCTGAAGCGCCATTTCTGCCAGTAAACGGAGTTGCCATCAACCGAGAAGGATGCACCCTCGGGCTGCTGCACAACATATGGCTTGAGATCTGTCCGGAGTGGCTCGTCTAGAAGTTCTGGGGCATACTGAACAGCTTTGACGGGTACCCACGGCTGAGTCTCGACTGTCTGGTGATCTGTGCCACCGGGGAGATAATCCATACGGATCAATTCCTTTGTACGAGCATCAAAGACAGGAGAAAACTTGCAAGGTAACGAGTAATGGTTGTTCTCGGGATGATCCACCTCTACAATATACATGAAGCATTGGAACAGTCGCCGTTTCTCGTTGGGGTCGTCAGTTCCGTACATCCATGGGTCGTTGCAGACTGTCATGCCGGGGGGCAGCTTAAGCTTCTCAATTTCTGCCAGTACTGCTGGGTGCTGCATGCAGTGCTCTTCGATACCAGCAATTTCATCAACATCCATGGGGGGCTGGTTGCTATTGTTAGTGAAGACTGGCCGGGAAAGATCGGCAAGAGGATAAACGCACCTGCACCCCCGCTGGGAACTCCTTTGCGTAGATGAGAGATTTAGTATCAGCATTCATCAAGGCCTTGATGCAGACGCCTGTGTCGAGACGACTGAAGTAGGAATACAAAAGACGTGCTGGTCTAGGTGGAAGAGGCTTTCCTAGCCGTTCTGCTTCGATATAGGGAAGGACATCTTGCTTAACGGGCTCATGAATATCAATACGGTTGTAGCGAAGAGGAACACCGGGAAACGATGCCTCTAGGATGCGAACAGCGAGTCTAATTTCTTCCGGTCGGACGGGGTCAAACGGGTGAAGCTTTACCGACGTTGTCGGTGTTGTCCCTTGAGATGTGAATGACATGATGTGAAGGGGGTTGAGGGTAAGGGCATATATATATATGATATTGTCTGAGGAAAAGTATGAGAGGCGGTTAAGGATAGATGACGATTGTCCTAAGGGGATGATGTTGAACAGGGTTGAAGTGGAATATGTAGCGACATTGTTGTAAAGAGGGAGAGAAGGCCTTTATATAAGTCAGTGGCATTGGAGTTGGCCACCATACATAACGGCGGTTCAGGGTATACTAGTAGTAGATAGCAGTTAGTCGTGGTCGAGGAAGCATATCGAGAAGCGTTCCACATCCACTGCAGGCGCATGGACATGCCGAATTAGGGAAGGTCGCTGCCACTTGGTGGGGATGCTCTAATCGGCTGCCTCGAGCATACCCCGGAAATACACCTACTAGTACTGAGTACTAGTACTGTAGGTAACAGTAGAAGCCAGAAGGGTTCCAAAAACCGCGTTGAAACTTACCGAACGTATCGAGTCCCCACGGATCTTGAAGGGTTGATAATCCTATTGGAGCCAGGAAGATCTACTGTCCGTTTGGATTGTGGCGGTATGTATCTTTCAATACCCGCACTGTATGGAAATGCGGTCATGCCCGGAATGACTTACATAACCATCCCCGATAAACTGGCGTATCTCATTCCCCTTCAGGACTAGTCGTTAAGTCTCCTCCCCCGTGACCCGCGGGCGATTACTTTTACATCGGCGGAAATCGTTCTGATTGCTCAAACTATCTTTCTTTGAAGGGTCTACGAAGGATTAGCATTGTATTTGCTTAAGACAAGCTCCTCTCTTGATAAAACGAGGGGCGACATCGGGGGTTGGAGATTCAAGTTACTACCTGCACTCCCCGCTCTTATCAGTGATAGCCAGCGCGACTTGCCTCATACTGTAGGGTGCCGATAAGATTGTTACGCCATGCTGTACAGATTTCCCGACTATGAATCAACTTGATACAGCCAATGTCCCCGGAAGAAACCCCGTCCAGGCACTACGAGGAAACGTGCCAGAAGAGAGGGCTCAAAATGGACTCGCTCCGGCTGTTTGACTTGCAAGAAACGTCGCAAGCGGTGCGATGAAGCTAAACCTAGGTACTTTTCCCCGGTTCTTCAACGGACGTAATGGCGCTGACCATTTGACGTAGCTGTCGTAGTTGTGTTAGGCTTGGGCTGACCTGCGAAGGGTATGGCTCAATGTGGGCAGAGCCACTAAAACCATCTGCAGAGATCTTTCAGCAAGTTGTGCCACCAAAGCGACGACGAGTTAGCCCGTCTCCTTCCGTATCTGCCTGCTCCCCGGCGGCACCAGTAGAAGAGCTCTCGCCCAATTCAACCGTATGCTCTGGCTATACTACTGTTCCGTCGACTCCGTCAGACTACGGCGCAGCTGAGATATGCACCCCACGGGATGAAGATAATGATTCTTATGGAAATGACGATTTAGCACCTGGTGTTACTCACTCTGAGAACTGTATTGTTGTTGTACCCAAACAGTGCGGATCTCTCAGCCATCTATCGAGCCTCGATATGCACTATCTCCAGTATCATATGGAACAGGGTTCCAGGCTCCTAGCTAACCTGGAAAGTGATGAAAATCCTCTACGATCGTTAATCATCCCTTATGCGTTATCATCACCACTCTTGATGAAGGCGCTATGTGCCGTGTCTGCAATGCACTTGGCAAATCGCTCTTGTGGTAACCTGAGCGCGCAGACTGCAGCAGCAAATTACTACGTGCGCACAATGAGTGGCCTCCGCTCCGCTCTTTCGAAATCTGCTGTTGAAGGCTTCCCCACAGACTCAATTCTAGCAGTGGCGCTTCTCTGCAAGTACGAAATTGTACGGGGCAGCGTAAAGCAATGGGCAGTGCATCTAAGCGCATTGGAGAAACTAGTGGTTTCTCGCGGTGGATTTTCCACGTTTGACCAGGACACAGCTGAGTTTTTATGGGGACTGTATGTAGTCGTCTCAATTACCCACAACGCACCGCTAATCAAGACCTATAGGTTCATGTATGCACACAACGTGGCGAGTGTCACCAACCGCAAACAAATCACAAACTACATCCCCGGCGAAGAAGCTTTAAGCCTCAGAAAACTCGACATATACATAGGATACACAGAAGACATTATAAAACTCTGTCCCCGAATCGCCGATCTACCCTTAGTTAGTCATGACCCCGTTGCTCTAGGTTTGGAAATCCATGCCATGTATGTCAACACGAGTACCAAAACCGAATAAGAAGGTCCGAATAATTAACATTCCACAGAGACTCATCACTCCGAAACTGGACACACTCCTCAACCCCATATTTAATCCCAAAAGGAGCCACAGACGCAAGCCTTGGCCGCCTGCGCATGGTAGCCGAGTGTTTTCGTGACGCAGCGTACATTTACCTCCATTCGACCCTAGAACGAATGAGCCAGGGCATCGTTGCCCGAAACCTACCATCGTTGTGGTCTTCGTTCATCTCCCGGACCAAACAAGTCGCTTTACGACGTTGCCTGGACCGAATCCAATCTTTCCCTCTGGATGAAAACTGCGAGTACTCGGCCCTGACGTTTCCGCTTTTCATAGCGGGCTGTGAGACCGAGAGCCCTGCGGCAAGGGAGCTGGTTATTCAGTCCCTGAGCAAATTAGAGAGTAATTTTGGGATCGGGAATACGAAGCGGGCTAAGGAGTTACTGAATATTCTCTGGAATGGGGAGAAAATGCATTGGTTGGATGTACTGGAACAATTGAAGTGGGACCTGATTCTTGCGTGAAGCTTGTTCAGCCAAAAAGGTTATTTGATGTAATATTAGCATGGCGTTACAGGACATTTTGTACCGTTGATATACGGTATGGGCACTTAGACCTACGGACAGACCGAGTATGTGTGACTACTGGAACATAAGCAGATTAATGATTCATTGGCATGCTCTCTTATTGCTTCTTTAGCCGTGGTCAATCTTTGGGGCTATAGAAGAATTAATATATAGAATGAAATAAAGGGTATAAACAAGAATTGGTTTGTGTGACGGATTAACAGACAAGGGCGAAGCCGATGTCGATATACCCTGTCACAAAATCACAAACCTGCTCAACAGCTCGCAACATCATTCTCAATTTTCTAACTTAACCCATATTGACTTCGTCACCTAACCCCATCTCCCGCTCTGCCCTCTCAATGCCCCCTGCAGCGCGTGAACCCCAGCGATCCAAGCGGTCTTGCGAGTGTGCAATCTCCTTGTCTCGTGCACTCTTATCGCTATGGGCTGCACTGCCATGGACGCTTCCTTCCCGACCTAAACTGCCGCTACCACTGGAGTAGCTGGACGACAGCTTCTGCGAGGACGGAATGCTAATCGGCCTGGAGGCGATTTTGCCGGGGCGGCTGGAACTAGTGGCAGATGTTATTCTTCCGAGATCTACGGACGAGTTATTGTTGGAGGCTGGTAGTGTGGAGGAGGAGATGCTGCTGGTTTTGTCGCTTACAGTCTTCGAATTCCCAAACCAGCGTCGTCTCCGTGCTTTGGAGGTTGACCCGGCGAGACTCTCGGAATCAGCATCGACTGTTGAAGCGTCAAGGGTTCCGGATCCCCTTCTCTTCTCCCTCTCCTTCTCCAGCGCCTGGGTTAAGCCGGACGTTGCCTCCGCCGATGTCGAGTCGGCGGTCGATGGGATCTCAACGAGTTCAGCATCGCGACACCACTTTCTCCGACGAGTGTATCGATCCCAGCCATCTTGGCCTCGACGGCCATCATTCCACTATGAGATTGTAACGGTTAGGAAATGGTATCGCTTACTCTAAAACGATGTTCGCCATCGATGTGGAAAACTCACCTTATTGTCGTAGTAGATCCAGCCCCCGCCATCTTTGGCGCTCGCATCATCGGCGCCATCGATGCGCCATTCGCTCCCTTCTACCCAGCGCCACTTGGCATTCCCGCTTTGTACTTCGGGTAGCTCAAATTCATCCTTTGATGGCACATTGTTGAGGTGCTCATCGGTCCATGCAGTACGCTCGGACGGGAACAGCGAGTAGGTCCAGCCAATTCCGAGCCAGCGCCGTTGGTTCTCATATAAGATGAAGGTAAAGCGCACACCGGAAGATTCTCCCCGTCGACGGGTTGCAACGCTAGCAGCATGTCCGTGGCTTTGTGTCCGAGCCGACGGTGTCTTGTCCACGTTCAATGAGAACGATAGGCCGGTGATCAAAGAGCAAATCCGGCGGACGGTTAGTGATCTCCATAGGATAACGCGGGATACCCTCGCTGGTCGGGAATGATAGGTGAGGATAATGGTGCCAATGATCAAGATAACACGACGCGTGGTGATGAGATGCAAGGGAGGTAAAGTCAGGGCGATCCAGATAGGTGTTACAAAGAGGATTCGGAAGAAGAGCGTGGTCAGAGCTGGTCTAGTGGTCGCGGATGTAGCCGTTCTTTGGGTGGATAAAAAGTCCGTAAGTTCCAGAAACGGCTCCAGGAGCATGTTACAGCGAGTCGTGAATGCTCTCATTGTCTCAACAATCTCATCGAGGCTATCATGATGGCGCAGAGAGCTCTCCGAAGGAGCTCTCTGATGACCTGGTTTCTCTCCGGATATGGATCTGGTTGATAAGGGGGAGTAGCGTCTCCAATACATGCCTAGAATGAGACCGATCACCACAAGGGGCGGACCAGCCCACAGAATGATGGCATCACCATAGAGGACGATCGTCCAGAAGATTGAGACCAGGAGGAAACTTTGCCATGCATCGTCGGTGGTCCATGTCAATAAGCCTACTAGCTTATTCAATGGTAAGATAAAGGGGTGGGAGTAGGCTAAGGCTCGAGTGATCGGTGGAGGAGTCGCGACTAGTAGAGGAGATTTGCGATGTACGATAATGCTAGAGCGCTGCCGGGATGCCAGCGATGAGCCGGAGATGGTAGTAGGAGAAAAAGCAGCGACCGTCGGGGGCTGAGAATCAGCATGGTCCTGCGCGGAAGTTGATGGGGCCATGGAATCTATCCACGGAATATCGTCTGCCATGCCATCAGCATCTATGCAGAAGTGCTCTGAAGAACACTTCCCTCCTCACGCGGAGAAAGAAGGTGGGGGAGAGGAGCAGGGAATAAGTGCTCAGTTGATGACGGGGGTGAGGCTGGAGTGGTGGACTCAGGCACACGAAATATGATAACATACCGAGAGCTGCCATCCAACAGAGACGTCATATGCAACCAGTTGGCTCATTGCGGGCGGTGAGCACGCACAGGGAAAAAAGAGAGGAGAGGAAAGAAAGAAAAAAAGAAAGAAATGAGGGTAGAAGGACGAAGAAAAGGGTTAGAGATCACGAGCAACCCCGGTCTAGTCGAAGATCTCAGGAACCGACAGTCAACCCGGAATACTAGGCAGAGAGATCGCCTGCGGGGGAACTGGAGACTGCAGAAAGTCCCGCGGGAGGAACCAAGTTGAAGCTTTTCGCTGGTTCTCGGGACATGTGACAATGGAGTTAATGCCAAAAGTAAGGTGTCAGCATATCTTTCTTACTGGATATGGGAGTCGTTGCGAGAAGAGGGGCAAAAAAAAAAAAAAAGAGCCTCAAAATTTTGGATTTTTGAACATAAATATATTTCTATATATATAGAAAAAGATTAATGTATGTAGTTATGTCGCGCTCCCTGTCCGAGAGCACTGAGCTCGTGCTCACGCTTGGTTTCGATTGTATGTAGAAACAGCCAACAAACCATCCAAAGGTACTACTCCGTACGGGGTACTGTAATCAACCAATGGATGGATGTATGTACGTACGTACATACTTACTACTTACATACTACACTTGTAGGTAAGGGACCGTTCCGAAGTCGCCCCAACCAGTCATGGAAAATTACAGCCGTCGTTGGTCCCGACCCCGATGGCGGTATCAGGTACGGAGACAATACCACCGCCGAAATTTTTCCATTGCCGTTGCGGCTTCAAACCTCCGTCTGTTTCCATCGCCATCCAACCTTTCTTGATCTGCCCCGGACCGCCAGAAACGCAACCCTTGCCTGCTTTGCGTGTATCTTACCGCGATCGCAGACTTGATTTTTGTCGCATATCCTTGCCTTTGTACCCTGTGTCCGTTTTCTTGGTCCAAAGAACTACCGTTCCATCCACAGTTAGTCAACATGGTAAGTCGTCCATGTCTGTTTACGATGTGACTGTTTGCCTTTCCTCCACGCCCTTTGGATTCAGTTCACTAACGGATTCTCTCGTTTCCCTCAGGCCCACCGTATCGTTTCCCAGGTCGTTGTTACGGGCGCCCGAGTCTTCGGTCGAGCCTTCGCCGAGGCCTACAAGCAGGCTTCCGCTACCGGCAAGTATAAAGCAGTCCAAGGCAAAGGCGGAAGCAGCTTCTCCTCATCCGGTTTGACCCTCGATGAGGCTTGCAAAATTCTCAATGTCAAGCCTCCCCAGGGTGGAGAGACCAACTTGGAACATGTGATGGAACGATTCAAGAAGCTATTCGATTTGAACGACCCACAGAAGGGAGGCAGTTTCTACCTTCAGAGCAAGATTCTTCGTGCGCGGGAACGGATAGAGATGGAACTCCGCCAGGCTGAACAGAAAGCTGCCCAAGAGAAGGAATTACGCGAAGGCTGGAAGCCCAAGGTTTACAAGGATTAAGGATTGGCCTGTGAATCTTTGGCGCTGGAGTCCGTCGAGATGGAATACTTCGCAACTGCTTTCAAGGACGCCTTCTGAATCTCGGGTCGACTAAAACGAGCGCCCTTCACGGTCGAGGCGACCGCATCGAGCATATACGAGAGACCGAAAGAAAAGCTATAAACTCCATCGACTTATTACATATTCCCTCTCGGTTTTTGCAGCATAGCATGGCGTTTTGGTGATTCCAACATCTGGGTTGGAGAGAGTTCTAGATTTGTTTTCTAATTCCCCCGTTCTTCTTTATACGCCAGGTCAGATAACAGTGGAGGAAGACATTGGAGACGGAATCGGAGGTGATTGGACCCGCGTCCCACGAATCCGACTCTGTCATCCGATGCATCCCTGCCTATCTCATTCGGATTATATCCTCTTGTGTATACTATTTGTTGGAAGGCCTGGGGCTACAGATGGATCGGATTATGATGAGAACATTTGCGGGATCGGACCACCATCATCTCCTGTACTCGCCATGTCTATCTATCCTCCAGGTGCTCCCTTTGATTATGACCTCTACTCCACTCTTGTGTTCTAGAGACAGCGTTGTCCATGTACTTATAAGGAACCATTCTATGCCCTCAGTCTGGAGGCGATGATGAAAGTGTGTATAAATGCAACCGCCATCTATTGACGTTGTGAATTACCATTGGCACCTCTGAAGAATAAAAGGCTCCAGCAGGAATCCCTGTTGAGCTTACATAAGACATTAGAGTTCGAGGGGCAAAAGGGGACGAGAAGACAAAGAAGCAAAGGGAAGAAAGTCAATGCCACCGATGATTTTGATCGATCACCGCCTTGAGCCGAGATAATCAGGAACACCCGCCATACTTAAGAGTCACGCACCGCTCTCGTTTGGTGGGGTCGGTACCCCGTGTAATTTTCTGGCGTCTTCCAACTGCAGCCTCTTGCCCTTCCTTTGCGACAATGAATCTCCGGGAGCCCATGGGGTGTCCGCTATGGCGCCATCCCGAGCGGAGGTTCCGCGCCGATGGTTAGAAATCCAAAAAAAAAGGCCGGGCCACTGTCCAGACTTCCGATCGCTTATCAACGCTTATTGCCCCTCCCTTACCCTTGTCTCTCGCTCGGTTCTACATATAGTCAATGCTTACGAGGTAGTTCACCCTTGATCAACTCCGTTTGAGTTCCTCGCCGAACTCTTCTTTGACTGCGACAATGGGTCGCCCCTCAGGTCCGCTGTCGGCGAATTTGCCGCCACTGGTCATGGGCACTGCGACATTTAACTCTCAGTACAACCACGATCCCTACGCCCTCCCGACTACGGAATTGGTCCATCGTGCGCTCACTAGTGGTGTCCGTGCTTTCGACACATCTCCCTACTACGGCCCCGCGGAGGAACTCCTCGGCCGAGCGCTGGCCACCGATTTCGTCCAGTCCACCTTCCCCCGCTACACATACCGCTTGCTCACGAAAGTCGGTCGAGTCGCGTCCTCTTCCTTCGACTACTCCCCGGAATGGGTGCGATATAGCGTTCAGCGCAGTCTTCGCCGTCTCCACACCGACTACCTCGACGTAGTCTACTGCCACGATGTCGAATTTGTCTCGCCACAAGAGGTGCTGGAGCTGTCCGGGAACTGCGCCGCATTCGTGACATAGAGGGGACCATTCACTACGTGGGTATATCAGGATACCCCGTTGATGTACTGAGCGATCTCGCAGAAATGGTCCTACGGGAGACGGGCGAACCGCTCGACATCGTTATGTCTTATGCCAATTTCACTCTGCAGAATACCCGGCTGCTCACCGAAGCCCTGCCCCGTCTCGTGGCTGCCGGCGTCGACGTGGTACCCAACGCTTCCCCGTTGGGGATGGGTCTGTTGCGTCGCTCTGGCGTACCAATCGGTAGTATGGGAGACTTCCACCCCGCCCCAGACGGGTTGAGAAGCGCAATTCACCGCGCTGCGGAGTGGGCCGATACTCAGGGCGAAAAGATCGAGGTGATTGCCATCCGGTTCGCACTCGAGTCGTGGCTCCGCGAGGGCGCTAAAGTAGGTGCTTTGGGCCCGCCTCTTGCTCGGTCCGCGGACGCAGATCCGGGCTTTCTCTCAGTTGTGAACCTGGGAACCGGCGAGCGACTCGGCGTCAGTGTGATGGGTGTGAGCAACTTAGACGAACTGCACGAGACGCTCCGAGTTTGGCACAGTATCATCGAGGGTCTGGAGAACAAAGACGACGAAGAAGGCACCGAAACCGGCTATACCCAATCCAATCCGGCCGCCGTCCCTTCAGCTCTCCAAGCGCCCACAATTCTCACCCCCTCAGAGGGGATCATCACCGACCGCGCCTGGTCAGACTCCCGTCGTCACCGAATCTTATCCCTTGCCCAGGAAATCCAGGCGATCCTTGGCTCCGAATGGGTGGACTTTGTCTGGCCAAGTCCTGGAACGGACTTCGTCAACACTTTGTCTGCCGAGCATCTCGCCTTGAAAACGGAATTGGCTGGACTCACTTCCGCAGGACAGGAAAAAGCAGCTCCGGCTACCAGGGATGGTCAGACAATGATCACTCCGCCCTTGGATGCAGTAGATACGAAGATACCCGTCGATGCAGCCCCTTCGGATGTTGCGTTGTAAATATCCATTGTACATGTTTTGCTCCAATATAGACCGGGGAAGGTAACTTTTTGTTTGTTCCTCCTTTCCCATTGATGATTGAAAAGAATTATCTTTATGACTACGTGGCCGTTATGAGTGATCTTGTCTACCAATCACAATAGACTTACGATATGAATTACACGTTTTTAAATCTTTCCAAAGCTAGATATATATTTTCTGTAAGCAATTCTAAGCATAGAAAAAAAATAATAATAAAATCAAAACTACAACCAAATATTCATTTTCACCTTGGTGGAATAGAGGTATAAATTAACACGCACGCCCAGATCTATATATTTATCGAGAAACCTTACCTCATTGAAATATCGACTCCAGTCCGAATCATCCTCTCCAAGGAATCGCATATAGCGCTTCCTTGATGAGAAGGAGGTGGAAAGGAAAAGAACAGCGACAGGAAAACCTGCCATCACTGTACCAAATTGGATTGATTTTTACTATCAATTTCTGATTCTGTGTCTGGTTTCATCTAGTGCCTGCCAAGGCAGGAATGAGCAAGCTTGGTCTTCTGGAGAATTACCTGAATCCAAAACGCTTGCAGGTGGCACGGTGCCCATGAAACCTGCGAGGCGGTTAGCGAGGGTTTAGAAAGAGTCTACCTAAGTGGTGAAGGGCCGCTAAGTATGGATAGGAGAGATAACCAACCGGTCTTTACGCAAGAAACGAGCTTTGGAAGGACCTTTCGCCATCGTCATGACTGTGAAAAGTTAGGAAACTGAATATAGACAAGGCGATGCTGCAGCGCTGTCAGAAGCTTAGAATTGCTCAGTAATGATAACAAAAACGGTCCACCCAACGAATCTCGCACGCTCATGATAATGGGTATCTGAAGTTAAAAGCAATATGCATGATAAAACGTGAACAGAGAAGTGATCCTATATGAATAGGATGGAAAAGTGTACTGGACATATATATGCCCAGAGAAGAAAGTATTCGTACATAACTCGACACTTCGCGAATGCCATTAGTCTCGGCTCACTACTTCATTTCTTTCTCACGGTTGGCGAGATCTTTGTCCATGTCAGACTGATTTTTATAGCCGCCGACAATCAAGGCTTGTTCATTGGTGATAGAGGCTGGAACGGAAGTCAAGTCAGGCCGCAATCGCTTCAGACGAGCGGCACGTTCCCGCGAGGCTTGTTGCTTCCTTTGCAGCTTGGTTAACTTCTCCTTGGGCTCCTGAGAGGGAGGTGGAGAGTTAGGTGGCAGTGGTGGAGGAGGGGCCGAATCAGCCGGTGGAGGGCTTTGAGGAGGTGGAGGAGGCGAGGGTGGCGCTTGATACCGAGCGAATCTGGGATGTGTCTGGAAGATTTGGCGCAGCTGCCACCTTTGCTCGGTGTATTCATCATAGTTTGCGGCGATGATGGACTCTAAAATGCTGTTTTGTTGGTCTCCTGCCATGGCCGTAGAAACCATGCGGTCTTTCAAAAGACGATATGCATCCCTGAATGATTTGAAAACCAAAGCAATTTCGCGAGTTCCTCCGGAGACATCGTTGTCGGCGTTATTTGGATCCTCGATCGAGAGGCGCGCATCCTTGTTGTCCCGGTAGACTTTGTACACTCTCTGTCAACGAACAGTCAGCCATGAAACGTGCTTACGATTGAACGTTTTCGGACTCTTGCGTACCTTGTTGAAATAGCCTGGTGGGTCCATCCGTATACCAACAGTCTCATAGTCAAAGTCATGACCATAAAAGTCGAAGAAATCCATGAGGACACTGCCTAGGTTTTGCGACTGAGGGCCATGTGGAAGGTGCTGTAGAAGACTTGTCACAAGACAGGTGATCGAGAATCCTCCCAAGCCACCACAAGGGACTTCGTTCAGCCCTCGAAGCAACAAAAATTGTTTAATCACCGAAAGAATAACGGGCATGGCAGGATACTCAGACTTCCATTGCTGGAAAGTGTTGTTGGCGACTAGTCCACTATCATTGTCGAACGACAAGTCCACTCTCAGGCCAGTCATTTTATCCACAAACTTCAGGATGGGAACCCGAGCATGCGCGATCGTCTCTATTGAACCGGGTACCGCAATGTCTAAATTCCTGAGGAATGCAGAGAAGGCGTAAATCTGGCCCTTGCGTTCACCAAAAGTTTTGATACCATGACGCATGAAGTTGGATGAGAGTAGAACTAGATCTATATCGGCAGTTGGAAGGTATAACCCTGAGGCAAACGAACCAAATGCACGAAGCTGCACGCCATAATATCTGCTTTGAAAGGCAGTCTGGAGTCGCTCAATTAAGTCGGCTCGGACGATCTGTTCGTATTGCACTGGTTTCACCCAATGATAAAAGGAAAGAATTTCGTTGTGCAGCCTGTGCTCGCTTGTTAGGAATGGGGCCTGATAGATTGGGGTAGAGGATGCTGGCGAGGACCGACCTTGTACTCAAGTGCAATGTCGGTGTCAGATGGTTAAACCAAGGCGCGCCTGTCTCAGACGGGCGCACTCTCCACTCGTCAATGATTGAGCCATCCGAGTAATACTTATTCAGCGGCTTGCCCGTCTTCTTCGAAAGACCCTTTAATTCATCGTCATGCGTTCTCTTCCGGCTTCCAATCGCAGAATCTTTCCCTTGCATTTGGCTCCTTGGGCCCATGGGCGCGTCCTGTGGAGGCTGGTATTTGCTTTCTTCCTCGTCCACCAGGCCACCCAACGAAATGAAGTCTTCGTTGTCGGCTACGGCATCCGTTTTTGCCGGTTGCGCGCTGGCAGCTATCCGCGCCTTCCGGATCAGCTTGACCACGTCAACTCTCTTTGACTGAGTCTCATCTGGTGGCGGTAGAACTGTGTATGGATCTGGGTTAGACCACTTGGGAGCGGGCGGTGGTGTGGGCGCTGAGGCCGGCGTGTCGCAGTTGTTCGATTCCAGGGCGCGTTTCTTGCGAGGACGCGACTCGTCGTCATTCTCATCGGAGGACACGTCCATGTCAGCTTCCTCGCTATCGCTGAGGCTCTCCAGAGGCGCAAACTTCAGTGCTGGTTTATCATCGCCATTTTCCTGGGCAACCAAAAGCTCTGGCGTAGTTTCTCTTTTCGATCTGAGGAGCGGCCGCTCGGACGTTGGGGGTCGCGAATAGCGAAATGTGAATTCAGGCTTGGGGTGGTGATTCTGTGACCGCCGGTCATTGCCACGAAACTGGAACGGTGGTGGCATGGCGAAGGAGCCCCTGTGTAATGGGCGTTGCGAATGAAAAGGACTGAAATGAAATGAAAAGGCGACACGATCACTGTGAAGAAGACGGCTAGTGGCAGTGTCACGAGATAATTTACGCGGAACTTCTGTACATTTTTTACAATTTTTTTTATTTTTTGTTGAGCGAGGTACCAGGTACTCTTCCTTGGGTAGGCGGTGAAGGTGGGTTACCCTGGCTCAACTGGTTTAACCATTGCAAATGAAGGCCAGAACAACCCACGAGCATAGGAACTTCAAATGAAGATCGAGAAGTTTTCATAAGTAGAACACTCATTTCCCGCGGATGTCCTGCTTCTCCGACCACCCCTTCAGACCAGACTCCAACCGTTGCATTAACTGTTGGTCCCCTGCCATTTCCGCAAAGCTCACTCTCCCAGTATACCATTCCAATAGTTCTTCAGCTCTGGTGCCATTGTGGGATTGAAGTAATCCGACACTCACGTCTATTACTAGCGGTCTTTCTTGACAATGCCAAAAGATCGTCGCACCGCAGCGGTTGCAAAATTCTCGATAGATGTCGGGAGAGCTTTCATACCGCTGCATCGTAGTTCCAGTGAACCCTAACGGTGACCCGCGGGCGTTGACAATATTTGATTTTGGAATAAATGCCCACGCTTGAATAGGGAATCCACTCGCCAGCCGACACGATCGACAGGCACAGGTTCCAGCTAAGTACCTGGAGTTTCTATCTCGAAGCCACCATTTCACATCCCGGGCGTTTTCGGACGAGCCTGATGATACGGGACTAACAGGTCCGGCCACGGGGAGGATGGCTCGATGGAAGTGGAGTTTGGCAGAGTGATGTAGAACACAATGCCCCCGCAGTGACAGCGGGCTCGCAGGCCATGACTCCTGTCGTCCGCCGGCGGTATCTCGGCGGAATAGCTGGGTTGGTTGTTGCAGCCGCGCTCCAGCCAACATGCGGACGCTGTTTCCTTGGATTCACCGGGAAGAAAGGAAGTCAACCCGCCATCCTGGGTATCGCTCGTTCGCCAATGCCAGATGGTTTTGGTTCGACGAGGCCCCTCCACTATCAGTCCAGCCGCGACGAAGTACTGCCCTGTATGCTTCTGATGCGCAAATACATGGGCGCCACAGGTCCTACAGAAATATCGGCTAGTGCCGGTGGATTGTCTATATTCGCAGAGGCGGTCGATGTTCCATGGGCGAGTCTGTAGAAGATGATATGAGGAATATAGTTGCCCTGTGATTGTCCTACACGCCATACAGTGACATAAATTGAGGACAGCAGGGTCTGCCCCGAGTACAACCTCTTGCGTCGCTGTCCCACACCGGCACGAGATGCGATGGATCACCTCGTTATTGTGCATGTTGGCGATTCGATAGTGGCCGTGATATGCGGCACTGGAGAGTGGTCCCTAGATAGGGTTTTGTTCGTTGCATTGGGTCAGCAACGACCGGTCTTTTCTAATACGTAATGATCTGGTGTCTATGCCTTGCCTGTGTCAGCATCCACGTAGATGAGCCGGGCACGAGGTGAACTGTTTCGTGCGGTCGGTGGCGATTAAAAGGACGAGTTAAGCTGTGAAATGGTCATGCCGAAATGTGCTCATGTCCAAGCGCCCTCCTTGCGAGGGGAGCGGGTTCGGTTCTATGGGCCGATGGAGTTGATTCAATCAAAGAGACGCATCCGTCGCCGCGGCTATAAATACCCTTTTCTTTCACCTATAAAAATACGGCCCTTCCGTCTCGCTCTCTCTCACACTCTCCTCTCTCAAGTCTCCTCCAAATCACTTGCCTA